TTTAGCAGTGTTTTCGTAAGATTCTCATAGAATTCAACTCTCTACAACTTCACTTCCTCCAAATTACCTTAAAAAGTAGTTTAATCTATAGAGAGTGCTGTGCCCTGCGAGAAAATTCCTATTAGCAGTGTGTGGTTCTGAAGGCTTCAGTAACGCACGTTGATGAAAGACAAACTTAACATATAATGTATTACAGAACGCAAATACGCTAAGAAGTTATACAAGCAATTAAAGGTCGTATGTGTGTAAATGCTCTACATTGGCGTCAGGTCGTAAAGCATAATGAACTTTTCATAGACAGTGTTGGATACAAGAACTTAAATATTGCACTCGGCTGACGAGCTGGATCTATTAATAGAAAGACATGCATTAAGAGTGGGAAGGGTACGGAGCTAAGTTTACGTCAAGGTATATCTCCGCATCACCTTTCCAACGTCCGTGACGCGTAAATGATTGCCTGCTCAGCGACATGGCCAACAAGAGTTTCTTGGTAGCAAGCCCAGCGATACTCCATAATAAAACTACCAACAACGAAATGATTTTAGCATGGCTAGCGTCAATACTAGACTTTCAACATAGGCGTGAAACTTTTATAAATACAAAAGTGAGAATTAAGTTACTTAGGGATGGTAAGGCACTGTTAACTATAATTTACAGCTATTAGTCTGCCAACCACATCTGAAGGAGAGCTGGGATTAGGTATCTCGCTAAACAGTCAATCGAGTTCATGTGTCAAGGACGTTATTGCTACAAATAATCCCTGTCAGGGGTAAAACTCTTTAATGTGTCTGTCTTTAAGCGTATATATCAGATTCATTATTCAATAACTTTCCCACGATGCCCGTATGCTACAGCGCGTCAGTTAAGATTCATATATCCAATTATGTACATAAAAGTTCCTACGGATACCCGGCCCGTTCAGCCTCTCGCCTTCCGCTTTAGGCGTAGTAGATACAGGGGTCAGGGCCCCAACAGCGGCCCCAGCATGAGGAGCCTTTTCAGGCCTTTCCCTGGAATTGACGGAATTGGGGGCTCTTAGGCTCTAGGACTAAAATAGGCCGCAAAACATGGTTCCACGCAAGGCTGTTACTACAATAATAGCATTGTATCGAGTCCGTCCTGAAACAGAAGGCGATAAACTTGAAAGAGTCTGGCATCCCTGTAGGGAAGTCGGCGAACAGCGCAGTTAAGATCGACTGATAGACTGAGTCAGGTCTTCCCTTCCAGCAGTGGCGTGATATCAGGGCGCAGTACTGTCTCAACCAGAACAACACGCAGGATTCAGTGGGTGTTGGATTCGTCGATTGGTACCTGTTTTGATTGGCCAAGGCCCTGACCTGAGGGCCGCGTCAGTCTAAAGCAACAACTTTCGAGACATACTGTGAGACGTCATGTTTGCATCCACTCTAGAAGCTGATTATGCGATCCGGAAGCTTTGGGAGCGGTGTAGTACTGTAGTCAAAGCGTCGGCAACCCTGTAACTCTGTCAGGCGCAAATGTATATCATGCAAGAATCTCTGGGAGTTCATCAACATTCTATCCGAGGACTTCCAAAAATAAGAAACGTCATTTATTGCCTCCAGCTCTTTTCCTTCGTTTGATTCGACAGTGCCATATCTTCCAGATTTTTCTTTTCGTCCGACTTGTCTAGTTATCACCTTTTCATACCCGATCTATCCGCGGAATCTACCAAAATTCCTTTCTACTATTCGTACACAACAGAGGATCAACCTTTTCAAATTCTTCTTCCCCACTGTATCTATCAGTTATGGGATCGACTCGTGCACAGCAAGCTTGAGAAGTTGGAAAGAAACGATGGAGAAAGAATGAAACACAAATCCCAAGGGTCATACCGCCACCGCCCACTTAAGCATGATAAATCCATTAGGCTTGTCAAGCTTCTGCCCTTCCAAGATGAAAGGAGAATCCGATGCCGACTTATCACTGTCAACATCGACGAATTTCCACCTTACGAGGCCATCTCATACGTATGGGGAGATCCAAAAGACAAGTCTAAAGTGATTTGCCATGGAAAGACCTTGAAAATCCCAACGAATCTTTTCTATGCCCTACAGCAGTTCCGAGAGGAAACTAAACCGCGAATATTATGGGCAGATTCGATATGCATCAACCAACGCGATCTCGTTGAACGTCAAAAGCAAGTCCAGATCATGGGCAAGATATACGAAAAAGCTAGACGTGTTCTTGTTTGGTTCGGACGAGATCTTGGTTCCGATGCAGGGCCTGCGTTTGACTTCGCGAAGACCTTGGCTTCGATCTCCAGATCTCTTCGATACCCATTAATGGAAAACCAGGAATCATATATTCTTTCCCACATTGAGCAGGTCCCAACATCACAGCGGGATTCAATCATCAACCTCCTTTCCAATGAATGGTTTTCCCGCGTATGGGTACTACAAGAGGTCGGGCTGGCACGAGAATGCCTGGTTACTTGGGGCGATAAAACTCTGGATTGGAATGAGCTCTGTGCAATCTCCAAAGCCCTTGCTTGGTTAGACGTTGGATCATTTCGTCTTCAAAAACTCGTCTACTATTGCGCATATGATTTGGGATACCTCGACTTTCAAAGCAAGTTACCAATCCTTGAGGTCTTGGACTATGCGCGCAGTTTCCAATGCTCCGACCCTAGAGACAAGATCTACGCACTTTTGGCGCATAGTTCATTTCGCGATGCGTTGTCAACTTCAACATCCTTAAATCCCATTCCCGTGGACTATTCACTGCCATACTCTGAGACCTACTTTGCTACCGCCAAAACCTTATTGGAAGGTACAAATTGCGGTCCGCTATCCGTTTTATCATATGTCGGTCACACCCACGAGACAATAAATAACCCGGAGCTGCCTTCCTGGGTCCCTCAATGGAATGTCATATACGATGCCACGGTACTTATGTTGGAACACCAAATTTACTCTGCTTCCGGGCATATAGCCCCGCACTACTTTTTGAGCAATCACACTTTAGAGATACGAGGGCTTCTGTTTGATTCTATCAAATGGACATCCGATGTATTTAAGCCCGAAGACTTTAAACGGGGGCTAGTATCCAGCAAGAGTATTTTCGAAAATATCTTCGATGAGCTCGAATGCTTGGAGCAAGGTCCACTGACCGAAGAAGCTTTTGAAAAGTTTTGTTTGACCTTGAATGCTGGAAACTGTTTTAAATCAAGGAAAGGTCCTCAATCGGAACTACCTCGTCAACAGCGTATCGCAGACTGCGTTGCCTTCTTCGAGGCAACAGGGGTCAAGTTGGCAATATTAAACAAGCTGAAAGACAAATTTGGGTCAGGGAATCTTTTTCGATTTTGGGAAACTGCATACATGTGCTGCAACCGACGATTCTTCGTCACTGAAAAAGGCTATTATGGAATTGGACCTGAAGTCAGTCGCGAAGGAGATAAGGTTTCAATACTTTTCGGTGCAAAAGTTCCTTTTGTTCTTCGGCCTCAAATGACGGGCTATTATAGGCTCAGTGGAGAATGCTACATCCACGGGATTATGGATGGCGAAGCAGTCGAGATGTGGAAGACGGGTGAGCTGGAAGAGCAAAAGCTTGTTTTGATTTAAATATCTTTTAGGTCTGCAATAACTCGCTGAACAGTGAGGTTTCCTTATGCGTGAGGGACGTTACTGTACCTCGCTGTATAATATTCCAAGAATACTCCCGTGTCTACGAATACTACGAACCTGGTTCTATCCTGTATGCAGAGATAACTAGTATACGAATCGTATACAAAACAAATCAACACCCCTCTAACCGAAGCAAGGACGCGTCAAAGACACCAACGCGACAATCACGCAGCGGGCAGCGGTAGCCATTACACAGAGGATTCCTACAAACCACGTCTCCGCGAACGCTCATACATTTCAAACGCCAGCCTCTTCTCCTCCTCCGACTCCCAAGCGCGCTCATAATGCTCCGTGTCGGCATCGACACCAAAGAACTCCTCGAAATCCGAGTTTGCGACAGAGATGTTAGCCCTAATCAACATTAGCACGTTTGTAACAGCGCAAGCCGAAGATCCCCCCTCAAGCAAATCAAACAGAGAAGAACAAAGAAGAATAAGAAAACAAAACCTACCAAGCCATGTGAAGTTCCTCCCCCAAGATATTCGCCCGCACGACAACAATGCCTTCTCCGTATTCTTCGAGCTTCTTCTTGTATTTCGCCTCTTCGTCTAGTGTTGTGTCTTGATCAATAATCTCAGCTAAATCATTGTAATCGTCATTGCCACCCAGGCCAAACGGCTGTTGATACCTGTAAAGACCAGATAAGTCAGTCCCTATCTGTATTTGGAAGCAATAAACTTCGTGCCGAGAGCAGACGTGCTCCAAAGTGAAGAAAGAGAAAAAGAAGAAAAAAGGAAAGCAGTTAAGGAGGAAGGTGAAGAAAGGAAGGAGAGAAGGAGGAAGAGGAATAGCAAAAAGCAAAAACGGACCCACTTACTTGACATACAACACGGTCTTCGTCCTCCAAGCCTCCCTGTCGATAAAAATGCAATGGTCCATATCATCCCTAACCCTTCTTCCCTCATCCCAACACATCGTTGCCAACCTCAGCACGTCCTCCATCCCGCCATCCTCCTCCTCCTCCCACGGCACAAAAGCATACGGCCCGTTCCCCTCCTCAATATACGAATCATCGTACAAGTTGTCGTGCAGCAGCTCCACCATCTCGTCAACATTACACGCCCCTTCACCCTTGTCCTCGTCGCCTTTCGTCAGGAAAAAACACGGGTGCGCATCGCTGTCACATTTGGACCCTGGCACGCCGCCAGCGAAGCGCCACGCCGGCACGTCGACGAACAAGCGCGCCTCCGGCCCGCCTTCGGCGAGCACCTCAACTACCCGGGGCTCCGGCGGTGTTGGGCCTTTGTCTGAGCCGTAGGTCGGGCGGCTGTGTATGTACAACCAGTGGGGGATGAGGGTGCTCGAGCGAAGAGGCGTGCGGCCCAGAAGCGTCGGCGCCGTGTATCCTGTGCCGCGCTCGGCGAAGATGACATCCATGTCCATGTCTTTGCTGTTGTTCTTGGCATGCTTTTTCGCGGCTGCGGGGTCGGTGTCTAGGAAGAGCGCGAAGGGGTGGTAGGGATGGTCGTCATGTGAAAGGATGCGCTGCCAGAGGCGCCAGAAGTCGGCGCGGGAGGCGGGAAGGAAAGGGTGCTTCCAGGGGTATATCACGGCGGTCATGTCTGGGTTGACGGTGTGGCCCATATCGTTCAGCGCTGCGGTCGAGGCGGCCATGTCTGCTAACGGAACCAGCGCGATAAATTCAAGCGTGGCCTTGTCGTTTCTTAGGAGGATCGGGGCATCTGTAAGGCTCTCGAGCGGTTCCGGCTCTTTGAGTTCGTCTTCGATTGTGTCGACGATCTCGATGGGTAATGAGGGCTTGAGCGAAAGGACATGGTCGACCGTTTTGGCGTGTGCCCGTGAGCGGGCCGAGTCATTCTGGAAGAGAGGGAGGTTCCAATCATGCAGAGTGAGTCCATATTCATCGAACAGTTTTAATTGCCGGTCAGACGCCCCTTGCTCCCTAAAAGGATCAATGCTCTGGCAGACAGTAACCTCTTCGTCTTGCGTAAGGGTACGCAATGCTTCCTGAAGCGGGAAGCGCTTTGCTACGATGTTAAGTTGGCCAGCCTCGGCATTTTCGTCTGGAAGTTTGGCCTGCAGAATGATCATTGAGGCTTCCACACCATCCACTTCGCCACAAAGTACCCGGTAAGTGTAGTAGTCGACGATGCCCACCCTGGTCCATCCCTTCTCTTTTGCTTTTTGCCCGGTGGTGAAAAGCTCAGTCATACAACCTTCGTTCTCCTCCTCCTCCAATCTTGTCTGCCCGTTACAATCACGTACCTCCACGACCTTCAACTCCGGCATCGTCTCAATCTCCGGATGCGAACCGCTCTGCAGTGCATCATCGAGCCTTTCCCGGGCATCCTCGGCCGTTGGTAAACATAAGCAGACGATGAGAACAGTGCCTGGAACTCGTTTGGGCAGCTCGGGGAGGTAGGACATGGTGAGTGGTTACGTCGTGAGGTTTTTCGGTGCGAATTATTTTGGAAGATATGAAGAGCTGGAAGGTGCTGCTGCCTGGAGGGAGTAGGCCGACAGGCAGCAATTACGTCATCTGCGGTCTGTGCTACTTACCTAGTTAGGCACTACCCAACTCAATTATTATTTTTAGCATAACGTTACTAGTATTCTTGGGGCTTTAGCAGCATCGCTAGTCACTAGTTACGAAAATAAATGGTTGAGTTGAGCAGTGTGACTGCCTTTCTTCATGCTCCGCTCCCCTAGTCCCGAAAAATTGATGAAGGACAAGCTGTACGCATGGAAATAAGAGAGAAAGAAAACCACAGCTTGACGTCAACCGAAAATTCAATTTTAAACCAAATCACGATGCTTCCACTCGCCTATCATTACAAACGACTTGTGCTCCTACTCTTCCTTCTGACTGCTCCCTCATCCTGGACTGACATTCTCTACCCGCCATTCTATCTACCTAATGACGGTCGCTGATAAAGCTGCAGTGCCTGATTCCCACCACACTTCAGCGAGTTGTCGCCCGTGCATGGCATGTTGCAATTGCCGTAAATGCCCGTCTTCGGACCACGGCCAGTAGGGATTGTATTCCCGCAATAGCATCTGCAACACACGCGTTAGCAAACGAATTTGTCCAAAGCCGGAAAGCTAAAACGGAAGTCAGAACACTCACTCTCTACCCATCTCCAATCCAGCATAGGTATATCCCTTGACCTGACAATACTCAATGCACCTGCGCGGCGTCATGGCAGGACTGTCAAACTGGTCGTCCTTCAGCAGCTTTCCCTGGCTGACCCAGTCCGACGCGCAGCCGATGTATGGCCAGCCGCCTACTGGGCCACGGGCGCCAACGCTAATGTCAATCTTGGTCTTGAGCGCGCACTGCTTCATGTTCATGATACCAGCGAGGAAGTCCGTGGTCAAGGGGTTGCAGCCAGGCAGGCGATCCAGAACGCCGGTGACCTGCTCGTCGACCTGGTACGGGATCTTGCACATTTGCTGCTCACCGGGAGTGTAGCGCGTGAGTGTGCTTGGAGGACAATCTGCGCCGGGGGTGGTGCAGGCGGAAATGGTGTCTTGGAGCGCAGGGATGTTCCAGCCGTTGATCTGGGAGCTTGTTAGTGTTGGAGTTTTTATTAGAGACGAAAGGACTTACAAAGTCACCGTGCATGCCATACCCCGTGGGGTCCCCGGGCGCAAGCACAAATGGCTGACCATTGACCTCGTCCCATTCGCCATTAAATACGTCCGTGCGATAAATGATCGCCATTGCCACGGTAGGCAAGCGATGCTCATATCCAGCTGGACAGGGCCCGTTAAGGTAGGTTCCATTGACAGGGTACGAGACATGGCTTTGGTGGTCAGGAACGTCGGCCGCGCCATTCCAGCAATTCGGGAATGTCACCTCCGTGCGGATACCACCGGGGCACTTGACTGGCGGGAATCCGGAGTAATGCTCCTCATTGGGGCCGAGACATGTGTGACCAACGGCAGCGCTGGTAAAGTCTCTCGTATTGACGCGCTTAAAGGGGTTTCCGGCCAGCATGCGGAAGCCCTCGGGGAATGGCTCGATTTTGTCTTTACTGGGACCGGAGTTGAAGCTAGTTTACCAGTCAGCTGAGTCGAAAAGAAAACGAAAGATGCAGCCTTACCTGTAACGGACAAGCATGCCACCCATATTTCCGACGCTATCGTCACCTTCGAGGGGAACGGAGATGAAGCTACCATTTGCAGCGTGGAAGTACAGCTTCGGGGCCCAGTAGATAGAAGGGTCTTCTTTGATGGCGCAGGAGCTGCAAGGCGAGTTGAGCGCGTCTTCATAGGTCGTGCTGAAGTTAAAATCATTGCCGCCGGAAACGACGTGGCTGTGATAGGAGACCCGGCCTGGGTTGACGATGGGATCGAGGCGACCATCGAGAAGGCGGCTGGTGCACGTCTGGATGAAGGAGGCCTGCGCATGCACGGCGGACGCAGCCGCAAGGCCGAGAACGAGGGACTTTACTAAGGAAGGCATGATTTTTGCTAGTCGAGTGGACGATGGGACGGAGATGAGATAAAAATGACATGGAAAAAGAGGCGTTATTGAAAGATAATATTGCTGAAAGAGGCCGCGAACAGGTGGTTGTCCGTACGCGGGGAGACAAAGAGTTTACACATAGCGGTAAGCAGACAAAGAGCGGTCTAAGAGAATGGATGAAGACGGCCGTTCGGTGCATCCCAAGATAGATGTAGTAGTTTGAATAGAGGTGCAATGGGGTAAGCGCATCCTTGCGGCTCCTTCAGCCCTGTGTGCGGGGGTGTGGGCCATGGCACTGCTTCCGGCGCGCACGGACAGACAATGGCTAGGTTGCATCTGTGGGCGCATTCGGCGGAAGTAAGGTCGAAGTCGGATATCTCAGCTATGCCCGTGGTTTAGCTGGAAGGTGAGAGGTGGAGGTCAAGGAGCGAGGTCGGACTCGCGCGTCGCGTCGGAGTCCGGAGGCTGAACTTCCCCGCACACACTGGATTCCTCCATACTTCCCCGTACCATCCATTCAGACCACAATTCTTCTCGCCCCGCCATCGCCACCGGAGCTTGGGCGGATTCTGCCAATCGACACCGTGTTTTTCCCAGTATGACCTGTCGGCCCGCGCTGCTGCGTTTGACGACATTGCCAGCAGACAAAGCCGGGCGACGCGTCCCACCATCTTCCGCTTAAGACGCGATGTCTACACAACAACCATATCTTCAGGCAATGCGCTCAAAGAAACACGCGTCATGGCTGCTGTCGAAGAGACTGAGCGAATCCTGCTGCCCACTCTCGGTCGGCCCTGGCTCGCCGGCTGTAGAAAACCACTGATTCCGCGTCGCCCTGGTTGAGAGAGCTCTCAATCCGATCTTTACACGCAATTATGGCGAGTCGGCGAGCGGGTCAGGAGGTGGAATGGCAAGAGGCCATGTGAAAGTCCTACGCGTACTTCACCATGACTGACTGGCGTTTGCACTTTCCATTAGAGAATCCTAGGCCGCAAAACTCTGTTCTTCGTATTCTTCTTCTTCTTCTTCTCCTTCCACCTCCTGCCATGAACATGGTAGAGTAAGGTGTCCCGAAGTCATTGACACAGTTCAGTCTCACCTCGCCGAACGACGCAGCTGCTTGGCTGTGACAATTCCCTCGACAGTAACTAAGCGACCACTCTCTCTACCAACACTCCATACATCGCAGATCACACCAGTAGCTAACAAACAACGACAAACAACGACAATGGCTGCTACGGCCGACGACTACATCTTCGCGCGACAGTTACACAGAAAGGAGTTCGACAAGAGGATTCGGAGACAGAACAACCTCCTAGCTGCCCGTCGAATAGAGGGCTTAGCGAACAGAGAGGCCCGTTTGGCGTATGCAAGGGATCAACAGGAACTCGAGAACCTGACGGCAATGTACAGCAAAGAGTTCAGTGAAGAAATTGACGAAGAAATGGACGAGGTCGATGACGAAACAGACGAAGAATCCGACGAAGAAATGGATGGAGAAGAGGCTGGCGACGGAACGGACGAACCAACGGACGAACCAACGGACGAACCAACGAACGAACCAACTGACGAACCAGCGGACGAACCAACGGACGAAGACATGGATGGAGACGAAGCTGAAGAAGAAGTGGACGAAGAAGTGGACGAAGAAGTGGACGAAGAAGTGAACGAAGAAGTGGACGAAGAGTTGAACGAAGAAGTGGATGAAGAAGTGAACGAGGAAGTGGATGAAGAAATGGAGGAAGAAGAAGCTGACGAAGAGAGCGACGAAGTGCTGGATGAAGAAATAGAAGAAGTAATCGACGAGGAAGCTGATGAACCGCCGGAGCAATGCCTGGCATGCTTCGAGACTCTCGATACTTTCGACACTATTGCGGACCTACCTTGTGGACACAAATACTGCTGGGGCTGCCTGGACCAAATCCTGCTGGCCGCAATTTCATATGAGGCGCTCTTTCCACCACGCTGCTGCAGGAGAGCTATCGATCTTCCCGCAAAGAGCAAGGAACATCTACCCCCGGCCACGCTGCACGCCCTTGAACAGAAGCGGATGGTTGTGAACACACCGAACGCTACATTTTGCTTCGAACAGCTCTGTGGTGCGTTCATCCGCCCGCCCAGCAACGGCGTTTATGGCAATGTTGCAAAGTGCCAGGAATGCCGCCGTGATACTTGTACTACGTGCAAGGCAGCAGCCCATGTGGGTGATTGTCCGAAGGATGAAGGGCTGCAGCAGCTTCTAAGCACCGCGGCCAAGAACAACTGGCAACGTTGCTACAAGTGCAAGCAAGTTGTCGAGCTCAGACATGGCTGCCACCATATGACGTGCCGTTGCGGCGCGCAGTTTTGCTATTTGTGTGGCGAGCGCTGGCGCACCTGCCACTGCAGGGAAACCAGTCTCCATCGTTTTGCTCGCTGATCGCTATGGTGAAGGGAGGTGCGGTCCGCATACCTGTCCACTGACCACGGCATGACCGGCATATAAGGGCGTCATTGTCCTGGATGGTTGAGGAAAGTAAACGCTACAAACTCCAATCATTCACTACCGCTAAGCGTCTCATCTTGACCTGGCGCCTACTTTCTCGGAATTTCTATCCCGGATACATAACCACACATCTTACGGCAGCACATGTCTGCACACTCCAGGTCACTACATCACCACTTTCATCACAATCAACTCCACCAATTTGACTACTCTCCTTCTCGTCCACATTAGCACCCCTTAGCAGCTTACCCATCGATGATGTCATGCACCTGCAGTGGCAGCATGGAGCGTCATGAGTGCGCGCGCATAGCAATACAGAGCATGCACATGATTCAGTAACCAGCGAACACAGAGTTCTCCGAAGAAACTCAACACCTAAAAGCGTGCTTAGTAGCTAATTGGATAGGAGCGTCTTTGAATTCACACTCTCTGGAACCATTCCGTTAACAATAGATTGCTCTGCAGCGTGACCTGTGTCCAGCCAAATGCAAAAGGCCGGATGGACATACTGATTGCGTCAAGACATCCTAAACCCTTTTAGGTCTTCTGAATAGTTTGCTAGGTACGTGTTTGCTTGTTTGCCTCTTTGTATGCGGATCATCTATTAACTCCCTTTGAAGTAATATGTCGTTGCCCGTGCAGATAAAGACTAGACTATGCTAGTAGTCGCTATCGCTCCTTTTCGTGGATAGGAGAGGCCTTTCTTTCAAACTTGCCGACAAGTCTTGTGCCGTCATGACGCACTGTTCCAGAATCTTAGGGCATCGCAGGGTACCAAAATGTCATCAATCGACGTTTAATTTATCGTTTCCCATGGGGTCCATGGTAAAAGCGGAGACTTCCCGTGGGATTCCATGCGCTAAGTGGGATAGTGGAACCTTCCAACGGTGCCCCAATACACATATAGCGGTTTGGTTGATGGTGTCTAACTCTACACAGCATTAGTGTTTGCTAACTGCCATTAGAAAACGTAAATGAGATTCTAAGTCCCTTTATGCAACTCGGATGATCGGCGCGGATGCGCGCATGAACAAACCGTGGTAATAGTTGCGTCGACGAATCATTGTATAAACTTCTCGCAAGTACCAGTGTCTGCTAACAATTTTCGCCCATCAAACGACACAGATAACGAACAAAGATGTCAGAAAGTTCTTATTTCTGGTGGCAAACCCTTCCGGACATGTGGGAGATGATATCACTAGAACTCCAACTCAAAATGCACCAAAACCAGAGGAAAAATGGCCCCAAAGGCACAGCGCCTAGCTACTGGGAGCTGGAGCTGGAAAAACGCAAGCAGGAGCTCGACATGAAGATTTGTCGGCGTGGAACAGGACGAGTATTTGCCGCGGGCATGGAGCAAACGAGGGTTGCATTTAGACCTGATCAGAGACATATACAACGTACCGGCCTAAGATTCAGCGAGAGAACGTCACGGACAATCACGCCGTTGTCGCTGGCGTCACGGTACCCCAGAACAACAGGGAAGACATTCAGGACTGGCACGAAGAAGGATACAAAGATGCCGGTCGACGGACAGTGCGCCGCATGCTGCGAATCACATAGGCACGACATGGTGCTGCTACCTTGCGGACACGAGTACTGCAAACACTGCATCGACCAGATTTTCCGGGTCGCAATCTCGGACCCGACGCATTTCCCTCCGCGCTGCTGCACACAAATCATCCCAAGGGTCACGGTGAGCCGGATCCTGCCCGCGGAAACCCTGAGCGCATTCGAGCAGAAGCAGACGAAGCTGAACACGCCAAATTGCACTTACTGCCACGAGCCGAGTTGTGGCGCCTTCATCCCTCCGCAAAAAGGCTCTTCCTCCTACACTAGCGATGTCGCTGAGTATACGGCCTGCGGCAGGAGTACGTGCACAACCTGCAAGGCATCGGCGCATGTTGGCGACTGCCCGAAGGACACTTCGCTGCAGCAGTTACTGCACGCGGCAAAGGAGAACCAATGGCAACGTTGCTATAAGTGTAGGCGGCTTGTGCAGCTTGCATATGGATGCCTTCATATAACGTGAGTTCTCTCCTTGACTTTCCATTACATCCCCTCTTCTGCACCGTCCACACTTCTCATTACATTAGTCTGACTGCTTCAGATGTCTCTGCGGCGCGCATTTCTGCTACCTTTGCGGACATGTCTGGAATACGTGCGATTGTGATTTAGGCGGCCAGCATCGCTTGCTCGATTGATAATTAGAGCTGTGGAGGTTTTGGGCCGGAAGCCTTTGGACAAGGACACGGGCCGCAGGACTTTGCAGGGTAGTTTTTGTTGGGTTTTCAAGGCAACAAGCTTGCGATGAAAGGACCACTGTGTTCTGATCCAGCATCTTTTTATCGATTCATGCTCTCGCAAATACTGTCACTACCACTGCCATCTTTGATTTCACTCGCTTAACTCGTTTCGCTATGCATTCTGCTTTGTTAACCCATCACCGTCCTTTTGTCTGCACAGTCGCTTACTCTTCTTGCTTTCAGCCTCAAATCCCACCCTCACTCTACTTTATTTCTGTTCTCATCCGCGGTATTTCTCTCTAACGAAGACCTCATACACAAACTGCGGAAAAGAGAACGAAAACTCCCATCTTTTGTAGTGTTATTGTTTACGGTATTTCTGGGACCGTGTTAAAACAACTGAAAGGAGATTAAGTAGTATTAGGAAAAAAAATGAATTGTGCTGTATTGCATCGTATGTACTACTGCTCGAAGTCTTGCAAGGTCACTTCAACAAGTAGTGAGCAAAATCGGCGGAGAAGTCACTGAGCATTTTGCGGGTATTTGGTCGTGGTTGCGTGCGGTGAGCTATATAGTTGACCGATACGTACGTTTTTTCTGCTGATTTATACGTGTCTTCGTAAGAAGGGATTCAGTGTTTTTGTGAGCTTCGGAGAAGGTGAGTTGCAGTGCTGTTACTGTGGCTGGTCGTTACCACGCTATCCCTACTGATTGATCTTTGGTCTGTTCATGCTTTAGGTGGGTGATCCGATGTTGCTGGTAAAGGACAGGATGCGGTTTGATTACAATATTCTCTTCTTATCATTCTGTTCTACAACTTTTTTGATGTCTTTTTTATGTCTTGTTTCGCTTCTTAAATATGTTTTTATTATTACTGTTATCGTATCATAGTAGCGCAGACATGCCGCCGTGTTTTCCCCAATTATTATCTTCGTGCATGAATGAATGATGTGAACGCGAGACTACGGCTTCAACGGTGCTTAATAATTTTACCTATAGTCCCTATTGATCCGGGCAGCTGGCAGTGCCGGCTCCACCTATTATTAGTAACATTTTTTTATAATTTAACTGTAGCACCGCATGAACAGAAAGGATCATGCATCTCTTATGATAGCATCACGTTGAAGGTCGGCAGTTTGGCTGTGGACGCCTGGGTTATAATTTGTCGATTGGGCTGGGCTTACCTTTGTGACAGGTATTCAAGCTTATTGAGGACATTTTATTTGTGTTTGGTTGGGGATTTTGCGGACGGAAGCCTGTCGAACGAACTTTGGAAATGGATGGCAAAAGCGTTATATTACAGTTGCTAGTTGGTTTATCCCGAATATCAGTTTATTGTTGGCATTCGTTGTAAAATGTAGGATTTTGGGATGAGTTCCGAGAACAGAGTGAAGGAGATGCTTGGTTCATGGTCTTTTCTTTATACCCCCAAGTTTCAGAGTCCCCTTTTGGGTATCTATGGTCCTATAGAATCTTTTTTCTACCTAGACAATCGAAATGGTTTGTATAGTGGAATTATGAAGTGGACAAGCCATATCCCGTAGATGTTCAGCGGAGAGTATCCCAAACCCAACCCGCCTATACTCGTTGCTTTCAGGTCCGGTACGAGTAAGAAATAATCCATACAGTACAGTGTCACCATACTTGTTTATGGAATCTTGACTGTACCCTACAACACCAAAACAGAAACCTGGAATCTTTACCATTCTTTCAAAAGTCATATACTCAAAGGCATTATGACCTTGTGTATCAAAAGCAAGCCATCCGGTCCAATACCTGTCCTCTTTGTTTATAACCATGCTCATATCGACTGTATTTCCGTAATTCATTTTGGAGTCAGCTGAAAAAGGCACCTTTTTGCTGTTTGAAATAGTTGCCTTTGGCATTCGTATGATTTCTATCTCGAGTTGCAGGGATCCAGGTCCATTCAGCCAATAGTTGCGGCCATTTGTTGATCCGACAAGTTCGGTGTTGACCCCGATTAGTTTGCATGATGATATAAAGCGATGCCACCTGAGAAATTGTACTGGTCCAACTTTTGAGGCCCAAGACCATGACGGCGCTCGTTGTACAACAGGAGATGAAAGAGGTTCTTTAGGCAACCATAGCAGGCTTTCGCAAATGCGGTCGCCCCAGATTCCGGCACAGTATGGAACCTTGGTATAATGATGGACCTTCTGGGCCATTCCAGCTATGGCCATAAGCTTGTCTCCTTCGTTGGTCAAATAGCAATTTGAATACATCTCAACCAGGTTTAGCCATTCCAGTGGGGTACCGGTGTTCTCTTTCGCCAAATTATCGTTTGAAGGTTCCATATGGCCAGTGCTAAATTCGAAACAGGCACGCAGGTTGGGTGCTGCAGAGGGTCCAAAGAACTGTGATTCAAGCAGTTCAGCTAATGTGTCTGCCGATGATGACCCTGATTCCAGAGGACCGCTTTCAGATGAAATACCCTCAGCAGTTTCGTAGTAGATCTGGCCTTCGGTAAAATGAATGGTCCTAGGTGACAGAAACCGCTCTTGCAGGACCCAACCTCGCTTGCACAGTTGACTGCCAGTTACATCCATATCCATGTCTGGCGGACGGTATATCTGTATCGTGGTCGCCGAATCCAGATTGTACTCCACTGCTCGACGTTTCGACAGAGAATTAGCCAGAAATCCCTCAGAATCGTCAATGGCACAATGTGCGGCAATCGTGAACAACGCTTGTCCATACACATCGCCCATCTTCCTAGACTCTTTTTCTCAATCTTTCTCATCATCTTGGATTATACACAATGCGTCGATCCAAAGGTAAGATAACCCAAGCCGGGAAATAACGCTAAACGCGTCTCGGAATGTCATAGGTAGATCTTCGACACGAATTCCAGAATACAACTTGTTCACAGTTTCACGCGTGCTTGTGAGATGTCGAGATGCTCCCCATCGGTGACTGAGGGCAACATATCGCAAAGGCTCTTCCTTTCCGGCTGTAATGTGGAAACTCTTCTCTTCTGTAATATCCACTAATCTGATGTTTTTGTCCTCGCCGACATGCAGCAACCGAGTAGGGAAGAAGGTGGCAACAGGGAGCGCGACTGCACCTGGATTTTCAAAAACCCATTTTTTCATGAGCGTGAATTTCGCTTCATCTTGTAGTCTTTGATCGATTGGGATGCCAAGCTGTCGGGTCCATTCGTTCTCTGCTTAATAGTAGTCAGTACACCTTCAGATAAGATAAAAATTAAGATGTCTGTACCTGTCTGACATGAAACAAGAAGCTCCTCATCCAACGTGTATTGTTGAGCAGAGTACCTGTATGAAGATTGGGCCCCAATGCGTAAAGAAAGGGAAAGTTGAAGTAGAGAATCTACAACAGAACGCCTAAGAAACATCTCAGATCGAAGATATTTTTTGGAGGGCACAATAGATTCTACATCAGTACATCCCTCTTCGTTATAGACAGCATAAATGCCGGTACGCTTGGAGCCGCTGTCAATCTTTTCATTCAAGAAAGCGGTATCATATTTTTTCCTAAGAAGCGTCCACATCATCGAACACATTGGACATCTTCTCATAGATCGTTTTAGGTCATGGACGGTGCTGAAGATTGGGCACAGGTTCTAAGGACGTTTCAGAAGTATTGTCAGTGTATATGAACCCTCATAATGCTAACGTAGGTTTCAGAAGAAAGAAAGCAATTATGTGAGTCTTACACAAAAGTTATAACCTCCCAGAGCACCCATTTCCTGTTGCCTAAAGACCGTAAAGAGGTTCAAACAATTGGTGCAGAGTTTGATTGGTTCATCCACTTTTCGTCTCTGCCGCTTCTTCGGACGTGGTGAAAGCTCCATGCTTGAATGAGTTTGACGAGCTGAGAAACTTGAGCACCAGCTGAGTTAACAGCTGGAGCCAGTTCTTATAGCAAAAAGTGGCAGCGCAGGCCCGCCTCCCCTGATGCTTCTGCCTTGAGGCTTCCCCGCACCACCGACCAATAATATTCAGAGGCGAAGCCATAGCCATGCTTACCCGCAGCTTGTGTTGCCACGTCAAGGATTCATACATCTCCACTGTTTTCTGTTTCACTGCCTGAAGATTTCTGCTCTGTCGCGTCAGAGGTATACGAACTTTGCAAAGCTCTGCCTTCCTTCTTTTGGCCATCTCTATACTATGCACAGGTATAGGCGCATAGGACTGAATTTTAGTGTCCGTACCTAAAATTTTGAGTCGTAATTAGTTGCTTCCACATGTACAAAGAACTGTGCTGTTCGTGGAAACACCGTTTCTTACTTGATCCATCCGCCGGCCCACCCTTCCAAACCGTAGTTGTTAGCATGGGCATTGGAAGTTGTCGCGTGCGAGGATGGAGGCAGAGAGCAGAGAGCATGTACTGTACGACAAGGCATGTCATCAGCAAATACGCGCGACCGACAGGAGTAAAGGCGCATTTTTATGATGATGCTGGTTAGTAAGAAAAAGTCTGTGACTTACGAGGATAAAAGTGAAAGATGATGATATAAGACGACAAACTTGGAGAAACTTGCAAGACAAAATTCTGTTTTGGAAAGGACATACCCGCACGTCCACCTTAGCCTTGTCGTCAACCATGATTTGGCAACAAAACATATCATAGTGTTTGTCCAAGAAAGCCTAAAACGATCACACTCTCTTTCATCCAACTTGCTATGATGTGACGTTCATTTGGCATCTGCTTCACTCTCCTTTCTTGACCCTCATTCCACAATATAAACATATCAATTAAAAGGCCAGTAAAACTCACCCTACTCCTTAAAAAATCGCTACAGCATTCGGCGGGCTTGCCACCCCACCAGGCACCTTCAACGGCACACTGGACACAAAAAAGCTCCACCTCCCGTCCTCCTTACACCTCCCCGCGACCTCTTCCAAATCAAACAACTCTCCAATCGGCATCCCCCACGCCGCAAGACACCACTGATGCAGCGTATGCTCCAAATCCGCATGCGGCCCCGCGACAGGCGCCCGCTCAAAACTCGGGCAATCGCTCGCGACAGCCGCAAATCCGCACGACCATAGCCAGCGCAGCGTGTCTTCCCCAGCCTCAAGACCCAAGAAATTCGGTTCAGGGCGTGCAGCGAGCTCCGCGGAGGCGGTTTCGCTGAGAGCCTTGATGGCGGCGTCGACGCCGGTGCGCAGGAACAGGATGTCGCCCCTGCGAGGCGTGACGTGCGTTTCGGCGAGGATTTGCTGGACCTCGGCGAGTGGGACGGGTGTCGAGCTGAAGGGGTCGGGTAGGGTGTCGCCGCGGGCGGTTTTCCAGCTCGCCCAGTCGATGAGGATGCCCCGGCCTTGGATGCCGCCGTTGCGGAGCCAGGCTGGTGGTGTTAGTACAGTGGGGGTTGTAGGAAGAGGAAAAGGCTAGGCGTACCGTCTGTGCCGAGGACGGTGGTGTTGTGCACTTCTTCCTGTGTGTGGTTCATGTAGAAACGCTGCAGTTTGTGGTTTCCTGGTTTGGGTCAGCCTAGGTAGCTGGTGGCATGGTAGGAAGAGTTCCACGAACCATCTAGTAGAGGTGGGTTAGTTTTTTCACGCATGCATTAATGTCTTATTTTGCTTTAGGAAGGATGGGGTGCGGTGTTATTGTTGGAGTGTTCCGCACACCTCCGACTCCAGGTCTTCTTTGTTACAACCCATATCTCTTCCATGGACACAAAAGGGAAAAAATTATAGATGAACAGAGGTAGGAGCCCGGAAGTAGATTCAAGGGAATGAAGATAGAAATAGGTAGAAAAAGAAAGGACAAATTTTTCCAAGAGAAAAGAGATTAAAATTGAATAAAAGAAAAACAAACTCACAGTGTCGAAAGCCATCCCACTGGGTACTGGCCTGCGTATTAAAACACAGGACATCATCGTTAACAACCCTCCCCTGTCCCCTATGGCGGACCTCATGGGAAAATTCTTGCCGCCCAAAACAAGGCCTTGGCGGCACATTCAGCGGCAGATCCAGCGACACGCGCACGCCTGTGCGGATCTCCTCGCGTGCAGCCGCAGCGACCGTCGACGGCGTCAGCAAGTTCAGCATGCCCAGCTCGTCGGCGGAGCCGTACAGGCCCCATATGTTTCCGGGTGGGCCGGCGGGGTCAAGGGTTAAAGCATCGAAGGAGGGGAGGGTCAGGGCGTCGATTTCGGCGGGGGAGAGGTGTGATGCAGTCATTTTGAGTGTTGCTGAAGTGTGAGAAGGTGTTGGAGGAGGTTGTAGAAGAACAAGTCGAGGCCGGGGGTTGTTGTTGTCCCTGGTTGCCCCGCAGGCCCCGCTGCGGAGGAGCTGCGAGGTGGGGCGGGCGGAGATGCTCCGCGTGTGACCTCATCGCACATCTCCGGGTCGCCAAAAGGGGACGCCCTTAAAGCGCTCTCAACGCCTTATGTCTCAACTAGAAACAGCAATGAAATGGTTGATATGATGAACGTTCCATAGTTTTATGAGTTTTGCATTTTCTGGATCATCGAATAAAGAACCATTGTGCTGGTTCTGAAAATTTGGATTTATCCGAGTCCTACTGTCACATTAATATTGCCACGTATGTAGATATTTGTGACTGAACTTGTGCACCGCGCCTGTAGGTCTCGGGTATCCGGAAATATTCGTCTGCTGACATCCCATCGACGCATCTATGCAAAGTGACACGTCTCTTTTTAGTTTGCCGGGACAGCCTTATAATCTTGAGCCCCCTCGAAGTCAGCTGCTCTATTCAGCACTGACTGAAACCATCGAGTTGTTCTGTTGTGCCTTCTAATGGCACCAGATTAAAGTTCACTGCGATCAATATCATTATTTTTGTTCTCCTGGCAAGAAAATTTTTGTCAGCTCATTCTAGCGAACAGATTTGATGGATCATACTAACCTGTGATGGCTGTCGTCGTCATGTTCACGTTCAAAGTTTTGATGTGGTGTACCTTGTACATTGTTCGTCTGAACGGGGATTCCTGACTGATTGTGCCTCTTTCGAATGCGGAGATAGTGTGCGCAGACAGGGACGATGATGGCCATGGCAGCAGCAACGACAACACCAATGATGGCAACCAGATCGCCGTTAGAAACACCTGTCGAGTTGGGAGCCATTTTTATACGTAGTTGTAGAGGGAGTCTTAATGTGAAAGGCAGGTACAAATTCATACAAGCGCTGGTTTTACCAACAATTAAATAAACTTTAACGCTTTACTGAGTTATAGCTGATAGAAAACTTGAAACTCCTATACAGCCCTACTAAAAAAGATTTAGAAACAGATAAATGACAAGAAGGGAAGATAATTGAAAAAAGAAAGTAAAAAATAACTAAAATAATTCTTATCTTCTTCTCTCTCCAGTCCGAGGGCTTTGCGGACAACAAGGAGGCTACTACAACCCCGGCGAGCTAAGGTTTTAATTGTTTTGGTCATTTCTTTGGCCGACCTGGAAAGACAGCCAGCCTCACTATAGGTTCGAAATTTCCACTTACACTCGAAGATAAGTGGTTAAGAGATAGAGATACGTGGCGGAAGCGCATTGCAGTTGGCTGATGCTGTTGTAGCGTAAGAAAGAATGCTTGCGGAGGCAACGAATTACGACTTACAATGCCAGTCACAGGTGCCGAGATCCCCTCCGGTGAGCCTAGGCCTCGTATGTTTCGAAAGTACTCCTACATACTGAATTTTCACTAATGCTTACGAGAGCTCGGCAACAAGCGACTTATGGTAGAAGGGTATCCCCTTTGGCCGCCAGGTTTCAGTTGAGCCTCAATCAGCATGTCTTGTGCCAAAGGGACAGGCAGCAAGCCGCTGTTGCTTGCACTCGTCGCAAATTTGTAAAAGCAGTATGGTGCCACAATATCTACGGCAATCATCTTGCATTGGTATGGGTGGCACCCAGATCACTAGCTAGTCAAGGCCGGCTTTTTCTTTCTCAAAACACCATGAAAACCACAAAACAGCCACTTCCGCTGCTACCATTCCTTACCTACCGAGTCATGAGAGCATTCAACGAGCCGTATTTTCTTTTGCCTTTTTGCCTTGCCCTTTCCGAACTCTCCGATGTTTCGGATTGTTTTCCCGCATCTATCTTATTCTCGGCTTGACTATAAGTAACACATCACCCAAGTTTCAGAAATGCTGCACCATCGGCGAAGTCAGGAATCTGCGTAAAAATCATCAAAGGTAATGCTTTGTGTCAGGTTGTCAATCAAACACCTGTTTATCCCTTTAAATCGATCACTGAAATAATATTTATTGGCAGGTCAGTCACATATCCCCACCCAAGGTTCTTTTAACTGGGTTTCGCAGTGATCTAAGTTGGTGATCATGCAATTCGACCAAAGGCTTACATGGGCATGCTTCAACAGCATTGCGTGGAAGACTCTCCGACAGGGTGGTAAATCGTCCAGTCGGAGCCGGACGGCGGACCGGACGGATAGCCCGCCGTCCCTATGAACGCCTCGTTCATTCAGACGGTGAAGTAAGTCGTCCGGTTCAGTCCGACTGATATCACGAGTCTTGGCATGGTGTTGAGCGAATATGTACCGAATAACTGCTGAAAAGTACCTAAAAAATGCGATATCTCGTATACCCGCACCCCCGCGTCCCCCGCCGCTTATCCGCCTGCCGTAGAGGGTCGATTTTAGGTGTAAAACAGGCCCTCTGCGGCACAGTGAGAAGCTTGCGAAGACCGCTCAGTGCGTGTAGCAACTGGTGCCCGCGTGCGAGCGCCCGCGGGTGCTCGCTCGTTCGCCTGCGCGTACCCGCTAGCGCTCGTTCGCTCGTTCAGCGCTCGCGCACGTAACTGCGGGCTGTTTAGCACGTTATAGAGCGGTCCTCCGCTGCTCCGCAGATGGAAGCAAACAGTCGTTTTCCCTGCTAAATTTGGCGTGTTAGTTCCATCTCGTGAGCTGAATGTAACCTCTGGTATACTTACTAAATATTTTTAGCCGAATCGGGCCTACTACTGCTCAGTAACGTCTCCCGCGGCTATAGAGATATCTTGGCATGGTGTTGAGGCGTTTATGGGCCCTCTAAGGGTCCTGCCGCTATCTACTCCTCTGTCCTCACCCACCTAGCAGGTAACTAGCTACCTAAATACGTAACTGCCTCTGCAGTACCCTCTGAAAGGCGTGAACGGAGCTTGCTTATACTCCTACCGGCCGATGAGAACGTTCGTTCGTAGTTACTACTTATAGCCGGGCATGCTAGCAGGTCGAGTACTATCCTGCTAAGTGTTGGGTACTGTGTTCGGCGAGTAACCTACTACTAAAGGATGTTTAGCTTACTCGTCCTCTCCTGCGGAGAGGGCTCCTGAAGGTACCGTTGTAGCTCGTTAAGTGGGTCCTTATCTATATCGAAGATGTAGGCCTCTATCTGCTCCGCCTACTATTCGTCGTGCCAGTGAGGTATATATGCTGCTTGCTGCGTCTCCTAAGGTACTGGCGCTGTTAGCGGGGGTGTGTAATCCTTATACTCGTCCTATAAGCCTATAACTATATCTTTAGCGGCCTCTACCTACTCTAGCTTCTACTTGCGGTTGAAGAACCCCTAGCGGAGCTTCGGATAAAGTAGTATAGCTACTCTATACGTAGGCGTGTTATCCGATAAGGTATAGTACTTATTTAATACCTTCTACGCGAGGTTGATAGATGCTTATAAGTGTGCTAAGTCGTGCCTTTTTGCGTACCGATACCTTGCTTCTTTAAGTCCTTTTAGTAGTAGATCTATATGTATAAGGACCTCCTAGAGGGCACCGTCTCTACCGCGTGTAGGCCTGCCTTCGAGCGTCTCTATTATACGCTTTAGGGGGCGTAGTAGTTCGCGAAGTTCGATTAGTTCTTGCTAGTCCTCTACTAAAAGTATATCCTGGGTAAGGTCCTTAGTGTTAAGGTAGTAGTTACCTATTGCCGCGCGAAGATGAACACCCCGAGATATCATCTCGTAGGTGCTGTTCTAACGAATGCCTCTATTTAGTACTAATTTTAGAGGCTCTAATTCGCTATAAGTAGACTGGATAGCCTCGAATAGTATCCTCCTCTGCGGACTATAGCTGATATATATAACTATATTATGTAACTTGCTAACAGGGCCTCTTTCGCGCTAAGCGAGTACCTCCTCTTGCGTATCCTTAGTAGTGTAGTTATCCTCTTCATCTAGTGTTGCTATAGAGGCAGGTATAGTTACTTCTTTAATTTCCTCCGTAGTCGGTACTATTAGTAGTAATATATCCGCGAATGCCTCTAGGTCCTTACTAAATAATATAGCCTTGGTAGTAAGGTTAATAATATACCTAGTATAACGTAGGCGGGCGTGTTTAGCGTTGAAATTAAACCTCTTAGCAAGCTCTGCTACCGTCGTGTTATTATTAGTAGTATTATCTATTATAAAATAGCTAATTCGATTACTAATTCGGTACTGTTTAAATACCCCTGATATAACGTTCGTAAGGTTGACGCTAGTGTATAGGCTATCGATTAGTGCTAGAGCGAGCAGGGGTAACTGATAATTACCTCTAGTATCGATATAGTGAGTATGTACTGCTAATAACGGTAAATCGTTAGTTAAGGTCTACCTATCCGTACTAATATTAATATCGCTTAGCGCGTGCTTTATCTACTGCGCTAGGTGATAACGAGCGTCCTTAAAGAGTTGAATAATAAGCTTACGGAGCGTTTTATTAGATAGTCGATAGGTAGGAGAAACGTCGATATCCTTAGTAACTAACTGTAGAATAGCTAGGTGGCTTAGGTGGGTTGCTCCGCGAAACGTCTAGTTCGTAAGGACTATCTATTTAACAATACGTGCCCTGTAACGTATCTTGTTGATCCGACGAGAGGCCTCTTCGGCGGGTATAGGCGACCTACTAGACGCGTACCCGCCCTTATGGCTGCGAATATACCTAGTAGGGTGGCTAGTAGTTGTTATTTTATAAGCCTTGTGCCGGCTATTCGCGTGGTACCGTTTATAGAGCTAATATTCGTCTATTGCGGGGTCAGTTACTAAGAAACTATACTCCTAGATAGGCGACCTGCGCCTGCGGCGCTATAGTAGAGTAAGTCGAATTATCGTAAAGCCTTTAGTAAGCGTCGGGTCGAAGATAGATCTATTAACGTCGCGTAGGCGGCTAATATATATTGATAGGAGGTCGCTCTAGCGGTATAGTTTAGTAATATTCGACAGTTCGGACGTAAGGCTACTAGCGGAGGTACGTTCGGCGGCGTTATCCGGGGTCTCTTTAACGAATGCTATTGTAAATCGGTTGCGGGCGGACTAGCGGGGTTGTTAAATTTTCTAAAGGTGGTCCTAGGCCTGCTAAATTAGACTGTAATGGGACCGCCGGGATACAGGCCTTATAAGGAGCGTAGTATTAAGAAAGATTTGTATAAATCGAAGCTTCGGAGACATTCGGTAGTATTCGGTAGTTGGCTTGGCAGCCGCACGAGGGGCGAGACCCTCGCGCACGTGCCTCTAACCCTAATACTAAGCCTGATCAGGCAACTACAAGTAGCGTTTGCCCCTCAACACCATCAGATATTCGGTACACTAGCAAACCCTTATACAACTACCGTCCACCGCCGTCCCCCTGAACCAAGCTTCGTCGGGACGAACTGCTTCTTGGCACGCTAAACGAGGCACCGTCGCGACCGTAGACTAGCGTTCCGTCCATTTGTTCAGACCGACGGTAATGAGGCTGGACGATTCCGCACCCTGCTCTCCGACGCTACTTTCTCTCAACGAGGCAGTTTCTCTTTAATCTAAAGCGGAGTAGAGGTGTTGATTGTCATTTGTTGCAGCAATTTGTCCTTTTCAGAACATTCGGGAGCATGGCAGCGACTGCATTTCATTTGTTGATACAACTTATGGAGAAGAAGACTAATCGCTCTTTTGACGACCAAGAGATCATTGAACACCTGATCAGTGGAAGATTTGCCACGACTATCGAACAACGCATGTAGTTCTCAGGGAGACCATTGCCAGAGCAGGATGTCCGCATCATCAGGCTGATCGACACGAGCTACATTATCGGCTTTTACCGCGGCGCCACGAAGTTTGGTCCATTGGACGACAGCGAAAGAATGGAGCTCGACTTAGAAGCTTGGGAAGCGTACCGCCATCTCAGCCTTTTCGACCGGGCAATAATGAAACAGCTACTGGAAGCTTCTGCTTATCTTGGGCATGGCTACACCACTGAATACTGGACGGAATCACTTACGAAAGTTTCACCGCAACCCTTTACAGAACTCACGATAAACCCTCTTTACAAACTGGAGCATGAGTTGTTCAGAGCGGAGCTTGTTCAATTAAAGAAACAACTCAGCAGCCTCTCAACAGCGTTAAAGATTGTTATGGGTGAGGATTTGGAGTTTGCAAAGTCGGAGAGGTATAAGAGAAGGATTCTCTTCGGTCCTGGTAACGCTAGGTAATATCTCTTATTAAAATGTACCTAACTTTCTTGCTGGCATCGCTAATGCTTCATTATAGCCATCCAGATCCTGACCGAAAATTCGCCAATCGTCGTGCGAAGCTGTACGAGCACAAGAAAAGTTGGCCTGAAATGGAAAGCAACAATCCTGCAAGTCAATCAGCAAGAACAGAAATCCAAAGTCTGATGGACGCGTTTCGAGCAGGGATTTCTCAGGCTTACAACAACATAACGAAGAACAATTTCGGTCCAGGCTGGAGAAAAGAAACTATCTTTCACGACCCACGACGGTGGCCAGCAACCTGGGACTTTCGATGCTAATTTCTATGTTCCGCTCGTTTAACTCTCGACCAAATTTACATCTCTAACCGCACTTATCCGGGTAGCCACTCAAATATTTATAATGTTAATTTTCTTCCCATCACACGCCCACCATACGCCCACCCCCAAAATTGTGTAGAAAAAGCTTAGGGTAGGGTGTCTACATTAATGTTTAAATGATTGAACAACACAGGCTCCATACTAAGCCCAGTGAGTTTTTAAAGTGAACAAGTGTTTACCAAGGCATTTGTACGGCGTGCCACGGGACATCCAGAGAATGATTGTTAATTATTATTAATAATTACTGCAGTGATCAGCCCCACAAGTAACCCGTATCGAGTCCCGATGTACCATGAGGTCATTTCTGCATTGGAACAACTTTGACGAAAAAATGCCAGGGGCCCATGTCGAAGAGTGCAGCTGATCGACTAATCATTAACCAGCATTGAAATGATGTACATTGGAGATATTGCTCCGAACTAGAAAGGAAGGCTGATCCGTCTAACCAATGCATATCTGCAGTGATAGTGGGGACAGCTGAAAGTTAACGTGAGGCTGAGCCTAACCGTGGGGCAGTTATGGTTCGATAATTGCAGCAAAGTACCAGCTAACGCAGTGGATGGCGTGCTATAAATCTCGGTACTAATAGGTTGTCAGCTCAGAGACTCATATCTCATCTCGATATTTGCAAATATTGGCCACGTTTTCAAGAAGACAAGATGCAGCGTCGATGCAGCATGTCGCCTGCTCCTGAGTCGACAAACCCTGACCTACAAGAACTTCTTCCCATGAACGAGTCTTCGAATCACTCAAGCCGCACTCCATCCCTGGCCACAGGATCTATGGATTCCAGATCATCGGAAAACATCAGTGTCGACTCCCCCAGGAACCCGAGGCTTAGCCACTCAACGACACTGGTTCGTCAAGGTCATGCTCAGGATGGACATGAAAACTGTGGTTTATCGGACGAATTTAACTGCAAAACGTTTTCGGATCCAATACCAGAGAAACTCCACGAAGAGAAGAAAGTCGCTACAAGGCTCGGATCTTTCCTCGTATATACCAATGTTGCTGCCTTCATCCTCCTGTTGGGAGCTTTATCGGCAATCACTTTTCTCTGGTTTGGAAGCGACAAGAACGATACATGGCGCAAAATTATGGTTGATGGCTGGATCGGTCAAGTCGTCACGGCGTTATCGTTAGCCATACGCTTCGCTGTCGTTACACAAGCAGGAGCCGCTGTAGCATTACTTGCCAGCATCTCAATAGAGTCTGCAGACGGTGTGCTACTGAAAGAAGTACCAGCATTGTCAATTATACGGTATACGAACACCGGACCTATAGGGTCAGTTTTGAACTTTTGGAGAATCCGTGGCCGAAACATTCGGGTTCTTCACCTCGTCGGCCTCCTTACTTTAACAACTTCCGTGCTTCAATTCACGTCAACAATACTACTATGGGACATTCGTTCCGGCGCTGTGCGAGGTTTTCCAAGACAAAAGGACATAGCCGTTGGCATCAGTATGGATAGCTTTTTCGACACATTTGTGGACCCTCTTCAGCAAAGTCCAAACTATTTTACATCATCCCCGACTGGATATCCCACGTTTGCTGAGTGGACTCAGAGCCCGGAACCAAATCTTCCTGATCACATCTCAGATACAGGGCCGGCAATTCGGGCGCTACTCCCGATTGCCAGCGAAGACGCTCGCAGTAAAATTCTAGAATTCAATGGAGTCGCCTCGCTCTTCGATGCCCGAGTAGTCTGTGTAAGGCCAAATATTACCGATTTCAGTTATAGCACTGTCCAACATGAAGGGGACCAGCCAGGTGAACTCGAGGCTATATTCCATGGGAGAATATCCCCAGGGAGTATCCCCAAAAACTTGGCCAGTGTTTTATGGGTTAATGGTTCCTATTATTCCAATGGCACTGGAAACTACTTCCAATGCTCAATGAATCAAATGGCTGGGCAAGGCACTGGCCGCTCTTTTAAAATATGTGTTTTAGGAGACCCCAATCCAAATCTGGGGATCAAAAATGAGAATGGATATGGTCGCCTAATTAACGAACTCGATCCGACCCAGAACGGTAGTACCTCGAAGAGTACTTGGTCAATGAGTAGGCCGGGGTCTGTAATGCTCTTTTTTGATTTCCAAAGTGCTGGAAACTTCTATAACTATCCAGATTCTTTCATTGCCAATGGACTCATCCCACGCTTCAACGTAAAAGAAAGAAAAGTTTGGCTTGACTTTACTGTAGAACCTGTGCCAGACCAGGACCTATACAGAGACTTTGGTATTGCAGACGCGGAACTATACAGAAATTTTCAATACCAAATTAGCGTAACATCATGCTATAGTGTCTCGTAAGCGTCTCGGGCATCGGTGTAAACCCCTCTACTAACGTAAATTCTTTAGGTACCCTCAACCTTTTGATACCCGTGTGGGGCAACTTCAAGATATCAATATTACAGCTACTAGGGAAACCACCGATATCGAGCCTAGCGTTAAATGGGACTCTAACAGGAAAACATTTGACACTACACAGCCACGCAACCAACTTGGAGTATTAGGACCTAGACCTTCAGTTGGCAGCAATCCGCAGGGTACTCTAAAGCTCAATATGACAAGCGTGGACAAAGCACTCAAAGACCATGCTGCTGTATTCTCACCGGAGAAAAAATGGACAATCAATCAAGTCAATGAAGGTTCGTAATGCATGAGATTCTGATACGCTTAATCTATTTTCTAAAACCACCTGTAGGACGAAGACATGCAATAAACGGCTACAACTACTCATTTATGCCACCATCGACCTATAGTTTCCTCAACAGCCTGATATGGACTACACTGGAATTCGAGAATAAACAGTTTGAGATCGCAATCCAATGTCAAGAATGTCGAGGTCGCAAGCTTCGAGTATATATCCCACAAAAAGCAAGGAATATATCAATCATCAATCTGCCACCAATACTCAATAATACCATCACCGACATCATGCAGGATACCGAAGACCCGGCACTTGCCTTGCAGGCGCTTCTGACCATGGTTCAACGAGCCGCCTATTACGACTGGCTCCCTACCTTCTCAGCCAAAAGCACAATCACTACGACCTCGATGGAGCCCTGCCAGCTCCCAATGTTCTCTCGAGGTTTTATCATAATTACGGTAAACCTCGGTATTCACCTTATACTCGTAACCGGAATATTCTTTTGGTTCCTCAAGGCCACACGCTACACGCTCATCAACGACGTGTGGCAAGTAGTCGCTTCCTTGAAGGCCAAAGACATTGACGAAGTGCTGGATGGTGTGGCAGTTGCGGATGACAGGAACGTTAAGCGTTTCATCAACGCATCGGAAGGGCTTCGAAAGAGGAGAGTTAGGGTTGGTTGAAAGGGAAACCTTAGCAAAAGCGCTACTTTTCGAATAAACGGCTTTTATCTTCCTGGAGTTGAATAAAAGTGTATACAGATCTGCTTAAATCAGTGACATGGCGCAGTCCATAATCCTGGTACAGCACATACATCCGTTACCTACTAATAAATATCTGTGAAGCTGGGCGCGAGGAATTGGACGCCGCATGTCCTCCTAAATTACTACTACCTATGGAGGTATATATGCTGCTATCTAAAAGAACACGTTTTTTCTTTAAGATCCTTATTCCCTTGCAGTGGATAAACGTGTGGTGTAAGGGGTAAGGCTGTAGTGTAATAACTGACTGTAATAAGGCTGAAAAAACGAGAGTTATCGGAGTGATCCTGGCTGACAATATCTAAGCACCTTTCTCTTTTAATTCGTTCTTCTTCTCTTCTCTTCTTTATTTTCTTATTTAACAATCAATATTCATTGCCAAACCATTTGCTTCATGCAATTTAGCAAACACATAATGCTCAAAAACATCCCTATCACAACACAAGCACCGCCCAATCCCTATGTACAAGAACACATTTAAATAGAAGCAACATAAACACCCGCACCGTAACTTAACTTACTTAAGCAAGGGTAGAGTTCGTTATATTCACCCCCGTAGCCCATAACCTATAGACTCCCCACGGCCAAGAAATTGACAACTCCAACACCAAGCAGGCCTAACCCGCCACGACTGCAGCAGTGCTGTATATATATACGTACACGGCTAGCTAAGCCACTACTACATCCGCAGAGACATTTTAAAAGTATAAGCAGACCAACCCAGACCCCGATATAGGTAGCACTGTGCAGCAGCATAACGTAAACGCAGAGCTAACCATGTTGCTTAAGAACGAACGAAGCACTACCACCCTCGCCACGGCCACCAAACCTCGCACACAACATCCCCCTCGTCAACAACGAAATAGCACGGGTACGCCGCCGCCGTAATACACGCGTGCTGGATGTCCAACCACACCTTCTGGCCCACCTTAAACGCCTCCTCTACTTTCCTTCCCTCCCCCTCCCGCACAAGAATGCCATGTTCCTGGCTCAGGCGGCCAAGCACCCAGTCCCCCTCCCCCTCAACACCACCCACCCCATCACCACCCTTCCCACCCACCCCGCCACCACTCCCAGCAGCAACCCTTGCCCACCCCCCCAGCGGCCCCGCCTCCCGTCCCAGCGCGACAACCCCCGCATTCAGCAGCGCCTCGTCCCTTTCCGGATACACGCTGCAGCACTCGGCGAGGACGCGGGCGGCCATATCGCGCCGCTGCACCGCGCGCGTGCCGAGCTGCTGCAAGTCGTTGACGGGGAAGTTGCCTGCGTGGAGTTCCAGTTGCCATCCCGGGGGTAACTGGGTGAGGGAGGAGGAGAGCGACGAGAGGGCGTGCGCCGTGGGCGTTGAGCCGAGGGAGAGGGTCAGGGGCGCTGTTTCTGCTGCTGCTTCTGCTGCTGCTGCTGTTTCTCCGTCTCCTGGCTGTGTATGTAGCGTTTTAGACGGCACTAAAGCAGCAGCTTTGCGCAGCGCGCCCAGCTCGTCTGCTAGGTACGTCGCCGTTGCGGAGGCGCTGCGCGCCGAGTATGCGTGCCCGGCGTGCGTGTAGAAGCCGCGGAAGCGGATTGCTGGTGACGAGGTGACGCGCGCGACGAGGGCGGGTAGGCGGGGTGAGGAGAGCGTGAGCCCGGCGCGGGAGGTGCCCATGTCGATTTTGATGAAGGCGGGCCAGGGCGCTGTTGCGGGGGCGTGGGTGCCGTTTGTGCCGTTTGTTGCTGTGCCGTTGGTGGTGGTGCCATTAGCAACAACAGAAACAACAAAATCCTCCAGCGCATCGACCTGCGCGTCATGGTCCAGGAGCACTTCAACATCGACGTGGCGCCTCATTCCTTGCAACTCCGGCAACGCGCCAGGCCGCAGCGGGACGCCGTAGAGGACGGACGTGAGGCGGGGTTTGCCGTGGTCGTTTTCTTCGCGGGCGAGGGGGAGCAGGGCGCGCATTTCGCGGAGGGTCGAGGCCACGGCGCTGGTGTGCGGGCCGAGCATTTGGCGCGTTATTTCTGTGCACTGCAGTTGTGAGTGAGTATGCGCGTGTGTGGTTGGGGTATTTGGCGGTGACGGCGTACCTTGAGCGTCTTGACATGCGGCCGAAAGCCCACCCCAGCAGCCTCTACATCGTCTAGCAGGCGCTGCACATTCCGGTCCAGCACGTCTTTACTGAGCACGAATGCAGGTGTAGGCAGCTCCGTCGCCGGCCTCCCGATAAAGGTATTCATGTACTCGGGCGTGAGATCCATCTCTTCTGTGTATCGTACTGTGCGTAAAATGACAACAACAACAATCCTCACAAATAAAATCTGGAGTAAGTTCGACGCACTAGGAGTAAAGAAGCAGAAGAAACCAGTGCAGACAACGCAATCAATATAACCGCCTCACACACACTCGTATACGTAGTGGCACGAAAAAGCGGTCAATCCCTGAACCCCATACCTCGTCCCGATCGGGCCCATCTTACCTATCTCACCTCAGTCTACCTCACGGATCAGCGAGCATCGTCAGAGGCGTTGGCGGCATCGGGTGCGGCGGTGGGCGAGAGCATCAGTGGCGCGCCTCTCAATTGTCGCGCCGCATGCACGCGTATACGGTGTGCGTCTTACCGTGGCAATGGTGATATGAGCCGCATGCATGCATGCGTACGTACTCGGGGCACGAGAACTGCTGCAGATCGTGCATGCGGCAGCATTCGGCAGCGCAGCGCGCCAGCCGAGCCGAGACATTGGCTGCCCGGACGGATGGCGATGGCGATCGGGACGGCGAGATCAGTGGTTGATTGGCCGTGTTGCTGCGGGTGAGATTGCGCGTGAGATTGGCGATCTTTTGGTGCCATGCTGTGGTTGTGGATGTCGATGTGTGTGAGACGGTGAATTGCGAGGAGGGTTAGGGCTGGGGCCGAGTGAGGGTGAGATGAGGGGTGCGGGTGAGGTACCCGGAGGGGTGTGCTTACGTATGTAGGTGCATAGATAGCTATCTACATAGCTATCTGCATACGTATGTAGATGTGCACCGATACTGCACGAGGTCAGCTACAATAGATGATACACATCCCACAATCACCGCAAAGTCCACGCCTCCATCCCCACGCCCGCAACCACAACCCCAACCTCCCCCACAGCACCACCATCACCACCATCCACCACAACCAACCCCGCCACGTCCGCCACAGCCGAGGGCACATTTCTTACCCTCTGCACCTCCACGCCCTCAACCCCCTCTCTACTCACATCGACACTAACCCGCCACACGCGAACGCGCTGATCGTTCCCTGCCGTGACGGCCCAGAAGACCTCGGTTCCAGCTTCAGCACCTCCATCCCCATCCTCCGCAGCACGCACAAGCGCACACGCCGTAATCGTCGCCGCATGCGCGCGCGGCACCAGCAGCGTCTTCGTGGCTGTTGTTTCTTCTGCTCCATCCACAGCCCGCACGAGCGACAGGCCCAGCGCGTTGTCGTCGCCGCCCGTCAGCAGCAGCGTCGCTCCCGTCCCCGGTCCCAGGTACGCGAGCGCGAGCGTCTTGATCGCCGACTGGTGCATCTTGGCTCTGGCCGCGAAAGCGAAGGCGTCAGGGTCGTCGGCAGCGGCGTTGTCGTCGGCAGTAGGGGAGGAGACAGCAGCGCCGGTGCAGGAAGGAAGCGGCCAGAGCGCGATATGCCCGTCCGTGCCGCCCGTGAGGAGGCACGTCGGGCTCAGGAAGGCGCATTGCGTGAGACAGGACGTGAGGTAAGTCCCGGAGGATAATAGGCGGAAAAGCTTTGTTGTCGGCGAGGACGTGTAGGCGTATACCTGAGGTGCTTGTGTTAGCGCTCACCCTGCCCGAGATGAAGGAGGGAGGTTCTATCTCCTCCAGCTTATCTTACCCGCACGCTCGAGTCCGAGTACACCATCGCGACGACGAACGCGGCGTCCGCGTCCGCCTCCGCCTCCGCTTCCACACTCCCTTCGGTGTTTGGACAAGTCTGCCGCACCGCAAACCCCATGATCCGCAGATCAGAGAGTTCGGTTTCCGACGGACATTCTGCTTCACACACGACGCCGACGCCAACGACCGGGACCCTGCGGACGCGCCAAACGAAAAACTCCTCGTTGCCGCCGCAGCTGAACAGGAAGCGGCCGTCGGGCGACCACTGCAAGTCCTGAATGCCCGTAACATGTTTGCGCACGACGCGCACACTGCGAAACCCCGTCCCGCTAGGTCCGTCGTGCACATCCCGCTCAAAAACCCGTATCGTCGTGTCCTCCGCCCCGGTAGCCAGGATGCGTGGATCCGCAGGCGAGGCCGTCAAGGCCTTGATTTCGCGCCCGTGCCCGCCCGCGCTGACGACGCCGTGCGTCACCGCGGCCGCGCTGTACAGCTTCATGGTCGCGGCCTGCTGCCAGACGAACGTACCGCCTGCGGTGCCGGGGCAGAAGGCCCAGATGCGGTGCGCGCCGCCGCATTCGATCGAGAAGACTTCTTGCTCGTTCTGCGTGTTGACGAGCACGAAGTGCCGGCCCCGGAACCCGTATACCATGAGTCTGCCTGTCGCGGCGTGGATGAAGGCTCCTTCGACGTTGGGGCCGAAGGGCAGGCTGAGTTGGTGCACTAGCAGTGCGGGCGCGTCTGGGAAGATGCGCGAGGACGTGTATCTGCCGTTGCGGCCGACAGAGACGAGATGCCCGAGAGAGGAGTCAGTGTCCGAATCTGATTGAGCGGCAATCCATGTCATCGAAGTGACTGTTTCCGGGTTTTGCAGTGGATACATGGCCGTGTGTGCGTGCGTTTCTTCGTCCGCCGGTTGGTCGAGCGGAATGTTCGTGAAAGCTGCGACAGAGCCGTGTCTGGCGCCCACAAATGCAAGATGCCTGCCCGGCACCGCGACATACAGCGCGCTTGTGACTACAAACTTGGGTGGAAGCTGTAAAGTCATTTGTCTTACCACGTTCATCTGCGGTCCGGGTGACAGGAGGAATTGTTTTACAGCCATTGCACCTACTGGAGCTACCGTTAAGCTTACAAGCACTTCGTCGTTGACGGTAATTGTGCTGGCATACAGCCCTGCAACTTTCCTGTCGACCTTGACGACGCGAGACAAGTCGCTGCCGTCCCTTTTGTGGCAGTACACTTGTCCGCTGCTTCCAGCGAGGAAGACGAGCCCCAAGCTCGGTATGCTCGCGGCAACCGAGAAGCCCTTGAGCTCGTCAAGCTGACCAAGAACGTGCCAGGTGACGCTGCCACCTCCGACATCACCCTTGATGACTTGGCCACTGTTAGTTGCCGAAACAAGTTCTTGACTGGACAGAAACGCATAGCATCTGTGTGCATCCTTGCTTGGCTCAGGGTACGTGTAGTCCAAGGCGGTGGAGGGCCATTGGTAGGTTACAATGGCACTGTCCGCCCCTCCTGTGACAACAGTGAAACTTCCATCCTCTCGGGGAGCAGAGACGTCCATGGCCCATATGTTCTTTCCGGAATGGAAGGATTTCGTGTCGACGAGTTCAAAGTTCACGGACGTCGCGGCGGCGTGTGGCTTTGCAGAATGATTTCCGCTATCGATTCTCCATATACGGCTGGTGGCATCCTCTCCAAACGACACGAGGCGGACCGTATCCAGTCCTGTGCTCGCTTTGCTCTCTGAAACGGCAAATTTCATGGCCCACACGCGGGAGGTGTGACCCCAGGCAGTGGCAAGGCATTTGTCTTGCTCAGAGGTGACGTTAGCTCCAAAGCCTGTTTCTCGATCTTGCAACAGGTTGAGGGGATCTTCGTCGGTCGTGAGATTGCCGTGCTCAGGAAGGTCCGTAATATCCCATAGGCGGATAGTACGGTCATCGCTGCAGCTAGCTAGTAATCGACGTGCGCCTTTGACATCATCCAAACAAGCTTGCGGCGAGATCTGAACTCCAAAGATAGATCCTTCGTGTCCAGTAAAGAAATGGTGTATCCGTGACTGCGGTTTCTCCGTTTGTTCCATGCTGCACGACCATATCAGGATTTCTCCAAATGCCGTACCAGACGCGACGAGCACTTTCCAGTCATCTTGACCAGCAGTCTCTGACATCCAGTCAACGTCTGCAGAGTAGAGAATGCATCGTGAACTTGGGGTCAGGTTCAAGACTTTCAGGTCTAAGCTCTGGGACGGCAGCGGACCAGTCTCCAAAAGTATCAACGCATTGTGTGCGGTGACGAGAACAGATCGCCATCCACTTTGGCAAAGCCGGAAGGAAGCAGCAGCGAGCACCCAGTCGGAAACCTGGGTTGCCGGGCCCAGTTTGATCGAAATCCCGGATCCATGGTCACCGATTAATTCGACTAAGCGCACGTATTGGCCACCATAGACTAATACTGTGGTTGCAGTGACGGGCACAAATCCATGAATGGCCTGGGTGCGGAATATTCTCTCAGTGGCCAGCAAATCCGAGTCATTCAAGTTGTAGATGCGCAAGAACGGCCCATCAGCGGCGAAGACATGCGAGCCGTGTAGCGTCAGAGCGGTCACGGGAACGCGAGTGCATTCATGCTAACAGGAATGAGCCGGCTGGTCGTTGACGGACAAGGGGGCGAATTGGCTCACATGCAAAGTGGGTGACATCTCAAGCTAGACGGCTGCTTCCCGTGTTGGACAAAAAGTGCAACGAAATGAAGGCGGCAGAACCGCGGGCGCTGAAAGTTCGGCACCTGCCGCCCGCGCCCCGTCACCCGCATCTCAGCTTGCGGGCGAGCTCACCACAATCCTTTGTATCTGCCGCAAATCCGCCCTTCTCTCTCTCTCCTCCCCCCAAACGCTCCATCTCCTCCCCTGCACACATCCGCTTTCGCGCACGCGATCCGCCCGCCCTCGACAACCTTTATCACGCGTTTCGCGATCGCTGCACGCCACAATGGCGACCATTCATGATGCGGATCTCGCAGGCTCCGAGTCTGATGATGAGCCTTTCAACTATGAGCCCGCGGTTGGTTCCGACAACGAGGACAATGACGGCGGCCACGGTCAAAGACACGACGATGACGACGAGGACCAGCGGCCCGCCAAGCATAGCAGACGCCACAGCCCTGATGACGATGAGGACAATCAAGGCGCCGCTGACGATGGCGAGGAAGGAGGTGAGGAGGAGGAAGGCGAGGGTGAAGGAGAGGAAGACGACGAAGAGGAAGATGAGGAGGAAGAAGAGGACGAGGAGGAGGAAGTAGTGGTATGGCGTCCGCGCGCATCTCAAACACGCTCCCACTAACGTCGCAAAACAGGGGCACACGCGCAAGCGCAGAAAGCGGGATGCGCGCCTTCAGTTCATCGATGTCGAAGCCGAAGTCGACGAAGAGGACGAAGAAGAGCTCGACGAAGATGAAGAACTCCCCGAGGAAACCCACCCCGACGACCTTCTGGACATGCCCGCCGGCGCCGAGACCGATGACCGTCGCCACAGGGAACTCGATAGGCAGCGGGAATTGGAAGCGAGCATGGATGCTGAGAAGCAGGCTGCGGCCTTGAAGGAGAGGTACGGTCGCAACCGCGCCGCTGCCATGGACTCTACCGTCTTGCCTCAGCGGCTGCTTCTCCCCAGTGTTCATGATCCGACCATTTGGGGTGTCAAGTGTAAGCCGGGTAAGGAAAAAGAGGTGGTGTACGATATCCTCAAGAGGGTGCAAGACCGCGAGAACAGCCGCGATCCGATCACCATTTGCTCTTGTTTTGAGCGCGGCAACGTAATGCCCGGTTACATTTACGTCGAGGCCCGGAAGAAGGCGGCGGCCATGGCTGCCGTTGACAACATTTCCTTCTGTTACCCGCGGAGCAAGACGCTACTTGTGCCGCTGAAGGAAATGCCGGATCTGCTTCGCGTCAAGAAGTCCAAGGAATTGACCGAGGGCATGTACGTGCGCATTAGGGGAAGCGGCTTGTACGCCGGCGATTTGGCTCAAATTGTCGATGTCGAAGCCAATGGCACGGATGTTGTAATCCGGTTGATGCCGCGTCTCGACTACGGCCTTCACGAAGATCCGAACTCGATCGCTGATCCCAAGCGCAAGCGGCCCGGCACCCTCACCAACAGGCCTCCCCAGAGGCTCTTCAATGAGACTGAGGCCAAGAAGAAGCACAGCAAATACTTGACTCCAATTACCTCGTTCAACAAACGAGTCTGGCAGTACAAGAAAGACCAGTACGTGGACGGTTTCCTCGAGAAGACTGTCAAGGCGACCCAGCTGCAGGTTGAGAACGTCAACCCACGTCTCGAGGAAGTCACCAAGTTCGCAGCTGGTGGCGAGGACGGAACGGAGAACCTGGACCTGCAGGCTTTGGCCGCTACGCTGAAGCAGACTACTTCCGGCGCCGACTACCTGCCGGGCGATGTCGTCGAGATCTACCAGGGCGAACAGCAGGGCGTCTGCGGAAAGGCTCTGGCGGTCCACAACGACATTGTCACTATCAGGGTTACCGAAGGCGACCTCCGCGGCCAGACTGTTGAGGCTCCTGTCAAGACTCTTCGGAAGCTGTTCAGGGACGGTGACCACGTCAAGGTCGTTGGTGGCAGCAAATACCACGACGAAGTCGGCATGGTCATCAAGGTCAGAGATGACCGTGTGACCCTGCTTACAGACTCGACCAACCAGGAAATCACCGTTTTCAGCAAGGACTTGCGTGTTGCTAGCGACTCTGGTGGTGCACAAGGCGACTCCAAATATGACCTCTTTGAGCTGGTTCAACTTGAGTAAGTGTTGTCATTCTTCCCCTTTCTATACATCGACTGATTGTTTCAGTGCTGCCACTGTGGCTTGCGTCATTAAAGTTGACCGCGAATCGCTGCGTATTTTGGACCAAAACGGCACCGTTCGCACCGTCCTGCCTTCCAACATCTCCAACAAGATCGACCGCAGAAAGAACGCTGTCGCAACTGACCGGGATGGTTCGGAAATCCGCATCGACGACACAGTCAAGGAATTTGGCGGCGAACAGCGACAAGGCCGCGTCCTGCACATCCACCGCAACTTCCTTTTCGCACAGAATACACTCCGGGCTGAGAATGCCGGCGTGTTTGTCGTTCGTGCCGCGAACGTGACTACCGTCGCCGCCAAGGGTGGTAGAGTCAACAACGCTGGTCCGGATCTGACCAAGATGAACCCGGCCCTGCAGAGGAACGGCGGACCAAATGGCCCCGGTCCGGCTGCTGCCATGCCCCCGCCGAAGATGTTTGGTCGTGACCGGCTGATTGACAAAACTGTCACTGTCCGAAAGGGTCCGTACAAGGGCCTCCTTGGCATCATCAAGGACACGACCGACACGGAAGCTCGTGTCGAGTTGCACACAAAGAACAAGATCATCACTGTCTCAAAGGACATTTTGTCAGTGAAGGATCCCGTCACCGGCAACAGCATTTCGATTGGCGGTCGCGGTCGTGGCATGCCCGCGCGTCCGAACGGTGGCTTCACGCCCTCGAGCACACGCGTGCCTGACTGGCAGGGTGGCAGGACGCCCATGGGCGCCAACGCTGGCGGCAGGACACCTGCTTGGGGCATGAGCGGCCGGACACCCGCGTGGCAGGGCAACAGTGGTGGCTCAACGTCGTATGGCGGTGCAGGTGGCCGTACGCCAGCTTGGAGCAGCTCACGCACTCCCGCTTGGACTGGCGGTAATGATGGCAGTCGCACTGCCTATGGAGATGGAAGCAGGACTGCCTACGGCGGTGGCGATGGCAACCGCACTGCCTATGGCGGCAGTAGTGTAAGTCTAATCGCTCTTCCGTCTATTAATATCTTGACTAACAACATCTTCAGTCATCAACCTGGTCCGCCAGCGCCCGCACCCCTTACAGCGGTGCTTCCGGCTGGAACGATTCCGGCTCCAAAACGCCCGCCTGGAGCGCAAACTCCTACTCCGGCGGCGGCGGGCGCACCCCAGCCTACCAGCCCAACGCGAACCCCACCCCGCAGCCATGGGGACAGAGCAACCCCACGCCCGGCGCCTTCGACGCCCCGACTCCTGGCTTCGCTAGCGCACCTACCCCTGGCGCCGACGGCGGCCCTACGCCCAGAGGCTACGGTGGCTACGGCGGCTATGGCGGGTACGGCGCCACTCCCGCTGCGGCGCCTACGCCCGGCGGGTACCCCGAGACGCCTGGCGCTGGGTACGGCATGCCGGAGACTCCGGCGGCGGGCGCGGCAGACGAGGATGCCCCTGCTTATGAGTAGGCGTCTGATTAAGGCTAAAATGGCTGCTGGTCCGTTGGAGCGGATTGGGCGAGCGAACGAGCGATGGGTACGATGATGGTGCGTGAGGGTGCGTGCATCAAAGGGCGGCGTTTTGGGTTGTCTGTATGAATAGGTGGTTGGCTTGGCTTGGCTAGTCAGTTAGTTTGCGCGTGCGTGCGTGCGTCTTTATGGGACAGCAAGGGGCACATCCAACGACGACAATGGCGACGGCGGTGGCAACGAAGATGGCATTTGGGGAGCAAGCAAGCAGGCAGACTGGCTTGGAGGGCTGGCAGGCAGTGGGTAGTTTGCTCGTCGGATTGTTCTTTTTTGAGAGCACTGCTGCTGCGTTATGGAACAAAGTTTACTTTTTTCTTTCTCTTTTAATCGCCTCTGCTTTCTTTAACGTCTCGCTCGTGGTCTAGAAAAGGCTTGAATGCTAACTACCTAACCATTCCGTGATAACGACGCGCGTGTGCTGCTCTCATGCCTTTTGGGCTGTCAAGGTATGTATGCTGTGTCGCAAGCAGAGACCACCACCCTATTATCCAGAATATAGACCAAACAGCCAGCCGAAATAAGCACATACGACCACAGGTCGCGGAGAATTGGGCATCCCGTCCGCTCTGCCATACACAAGCCGCGAACCGGCTGATTAGTAGTTAGGTGGGTGACCACTAGCGAATCCCAGCTGTTGTATGTTTTTGCTTTTCACTTTTTTGCTGTGATGTAGTGTGTGGTTGTGTTATGCGGTAGAAGGTGCGTGGGTGGTGGGTTGTCTTCATTTTGCTCGGACAGTAGGCAGCTGGTGCTGGGTGCGGAGTGCGGAGCGGGGGTCGGAGATGCAGATGAGGGAGCGTCGGTGGGCGTGGGTGGTGCTGCTGCGTTAGGGTTATAACTTATATAGCTTTTTTTGGTGCGGGAGCAGGATACGGAGGTTCTGCTGAAGCGTACATATGTAGATAGTTGTGCTATGGGGTGCGCGCGAAGTGCGGTGGCTTTGGAGGGGTGTGAGTAACTGCTCTTCTGTTCTTTCTGAGTCTTGAATTCGAGGTGATTTAAATCGCTTTCGTTTCTGCAGTAACTGGCATATGTGCATGGGTGCATGTAATCAGCTGTCCAAGACACACACAGCTGCATACAAAGTCCAAAGAATACGCTGACCTATCTTGAGCGCTTCTGCAACAATGCTAGACTCGGCCTCCGCATCAAGCCACCGCCTCATGGCCCCGAGCGCAGCTTCTTCGCCCTCCACTTCCGCATGAACTCGTTCCTCAAATACCCCCTCGCCTTCCTCATGCCCTCCAAAAACGCCTTTGCAACCCTGTTCTTCTCATCCCCAGTCACATCTGCTCCGCCAGTGTTGCTCGCAGAAAGGCCCTCCGCGAACGCCCGGACGCGCTCGTCGTCTATTCCGTTGTTGTCTCCTATAAGGCCAGGAACGTCCCAGCACCACCCCTGAATGACGTTGTATACGAACTGTTCCAGCTTGTCTGACTGTGAGGCTAGGCTCAGACCGAAAGCCGCAGCAAACCCACCCATTGCGCGGGCGCTAGCCGGAGTAAGGACTTGTTGGTGAGTTTTGCGTGCGTTGCGGAGGTAAGTGACAGAGAGTTCGTGGGTGGGGTCAGCGGTTAGGAGGGTAGTGAGCGTTAAGTCGATGTCGGCAATGGCGAGGGCGCGGAGCTGTGCCAAACTTAATGTGCACAGACGGGTGGATGTGGGGATCTCGCCCCAGATGAGCTGTGAGTTTGAGAGTGATTAGTTTGCCGTGGTTCTTTCAAGGATGCGGGAACACAAGGCATGACATACCCATTCGTAACGAGCCTGGTATCTCATCCCTGATGGCGCCCACTTAAACATCTGCGCCCGACATTTTAGTGACATTGCACTGAATCCTTTACCGTTCGCCATTGCAGCCTTTGCATCAATGACCGTGATGTACGGCGTATTGCCTAGTCTCTCCTGCGCTAGAGCCTTTGACATTGCGAAGATCAGGCTATCCGTGCAGGATATAAAACGAGAGTCTGGTTCTCGCTCTGGGGCTTCTTGCTCTGGGACTTCTCGTTCTGGGGGTTCTCGCTCTGAGGCTCTGCCCTCCGAGGCTCGGCGCTCCCATTGGTCGTGCCACAGGTGTAGAGCTGCGTCATAGATTAGTGCTTGGGAATCGTTTCCGAGTGGTTCCGGAATCTTGCTGTTAGGGATATGAAGGAAGTGAGCTGCTCGTATAGTTTCGGGAGTATTGATGCCAGCACTCCCTTTGTGGTACATGCGGTATAGTAGAGCTGGTTGACTGCCGGGCTTCGACCTTCCTTTTGAGACGAGCTGCTCTGTTTCAGAATCATCGGTTTCTACGGAGGGTTGGTTGTCGGACTGGTGGTCATCGGCGGCTGCCTGGAGTTGCTTATATGCGCTGTCTTGTGGTGCAGGTGACGGCGGCGGAGAAGGGCCTTGAGCAACAGCGTTGTTTCCTGGGGACGGATCAGCAGCAGACTGCCATGTTTGATGGAGAGCCTCGAGCTTAAGCTTCTTCTTGATTGACCTGATCCTCTTTCGGTCCAACAGAGTCAATGTCTTCCGACCTTTTGGGTGTTTGGGCTCTGTTTCTGACTGGTGTCGTGCAGGAACAAGTCGAATTCCCAAAGCCTCTGCTCTGCCCTCGAGACTTGTCTGCAAAGCCGACCATCTCTCCTGATCTTCAAATGGGGTGTTGTAAACTTCACGCCAAGCCGATTCCAAGCGATATCTCCGCAGATCACTATACTGAGCGCTCATCTTTGTCGCAGACAGTGGTTCTTCCGATAGTGGCACTTCGGGCAGTGATGTTGGTGCCTCAGCTGCAAGTCCGGAAATTGCGAAGTGATAGTTGAAGACCTCCGCGAGGTCTCTCCAACTGTTGATATAGTAGCGACGAAGAATGCAGACGACGATTTTCTGCTCTTTCGTCCATCGGTGATTCTTCGACTCTTTCTCGTAGGGAAGTTGAACAAACTGGTGGGAGTCTATAACAGCCGTTTCAGACTCAATAGGACTGCATCTCATCCTCTTGTTCCCACCAGAGTCGTCACTGATACTTTTCTCCCTCTTTCTATTTCTCGGTTTCGGGCATGGGAGGACCTCGATGCATGACAAGATACTGGCGTCGTCGTCGTCGCAATCATTTTCACTTTCAGTGTCTTCCGTGAGGTCAACAATCTCGACTGCCTTTGTAGTAGAAAGAATCGATTTCGTAAAAATGCTGTCCTTTTGGCCTCCTGGTTCATAAAACGAAAGGTTGTATTGAGACGTGTGTAGGCTAATCGCTGATCTCCAGTTTGAGTTCTTTGTAGTTGACATGTTCGATGCAAGAAAGAATGAGCGATAGAGAAAACCAAAGATGGCGATGCTGGCCCGACAGTCTGAACTCGAAAAACTGGATTCGAAAACCTGGATTCGTAGTTGATAGGTGCTATGTACTGAAGAAGGGAGACTAGGTAGCGTCTCACACCGTTGTCAGGGCAGGCGCGGCCCTAGCCAAAAGTGAAGGAGCGTCCCTTCCGCAGCGAGTTAGTAAGTGCGCAAGTCGAGGCTAAATTTAGGAACAACTTACTTACCATAATCTCTACCCATGGTTTAGCTACTACTGTCTTAGGTTAGTGGAGCAGCCGAATAGGGAAAGTCAATCAACCATTAGAAGGAAAATAGCTCAGTCCGTATGAGTAGTGTTAGCGAATAATGACTTCAATAGCCACTTCATTGCTCCAGCCGGCTTTTTGATCATTCTCTTTCCAGGCTCTTGCAAGGTCGATCTCGAGGACATTCTCATTCTTCGCAACACAACCCAGCGAGATTGGTTGTCCGAACAGTAGCGCCAGAAAGTCAGTCTCCAAGTTCCTGTTCTCAAGGTCCGAGATCCAAAGACCGTAGGTGCCAAGAGCCTTGAGCGAAGTCCAAACACGCAAGTGCCGACCCCCTTCCCGCTCAACGTAAGAATCGGTATTCACAATGGCCGCCGATCCGGTCATCTTGCCAAGCAGACCGAGAACAGCAACGTCGACTTTGGGACTACCAGAGCCATGACCAGAAAGCCTTGGAAGCTCATAGGAGCCGACTGGTACTGCGGAAAGGATTTCCCAACTTTGCACCGCAATGTCAACATGCACAAATGCTGTAGACTGGCGGCTGAATGGAGAAGATGTTTGGCCAGTTCTGTGGGAGCGTACCACGTAGGTTCCAAATTCAGTCCCAGGGAACTGGTCGAGCGTTAGGAGCTCTGTCAAGCGTCGCTGGGTGGTGTTGAAAACACCTAAGATACCGGTGCCGGTTTGTGCTCTGCCCACATAGGTTCCAATTTTCAGCAGCTGGTGCTCATCGTAACCCGCGTAGGCGTCGATTGTCTTCCCAATTACATCAGGCCGAAGGATTACGGTGTCTCCACGTGGCGTGTTAGCTGTCATCTGGCGGATAAGATCCACGTCGTGCTGGCCAGGCACGTCAGTGATGTATATGGGTCCACCGGAGACGCAACGGGCTGCTCCGTGGAAAGTAGCCCAGGGATGCGACGTTTGAAACATATCCCAGTCGGGCAGGACGTTCAAATGCTGAGTGAAAAGGGCGTTATATGCATTGCAGAAAATATGCCATGGGTGGGATGCCGGAACCTCTGGGAAAAAATCATCCGAATTTCGGACCATCAAACGAGGCTTGTTCGTAGGCATCTGAGAATGGAAAAGAATCTGAGGAACCTGAGACATGCAGGAAATAGCTTTTGCAGAGAAGTGGCGAAGGATGTTTATGCTCCAGGCATCCTGATAAGTTTTAATCAAGCGTCTTCTTTCAGGCGCCGTATCTAACTCGTCGAGAAAGAACTGGGCATCCGTCTTCACGGAGTCGATTCCAGCCGATTCGAGGAAAGAGTAGAAGTCCTGGTAGAGACGATGAACATCTTGTTCATCAACTACCAGCATTTTCCCTGCAGACACTCCAGGCTTCTTTTGAACCTCGGCAGTCTGATACTCATCAGCGATCTTCCCATCTGGGGATATTCCGCCCCAGTAGCCAAGGATGGCGTGCCACACAGCAATGTGTGAAATGTTCTTGTGCCTTTCGCGAATAGTTCTAGCTGTATGTGCCAGCCCATTGGGAAATCCAGCCTTGTTCGCTTCGAATTCCTTCCATCCGCGTTTGAACTGGTCTTCGCCTTCGTGATCCAGGGACTGCCAGTTGTCATCGATTATCAGGTTCGTCACGTTGATATCGTTGCTCTCCAGTTGATCCAAGGCATTGAAGATTGCGGCTTCCGTTAGGTGCTGACCCAGTCCGTTCCAGGTACAGTATGCAAGACCATCATACCACTCTTCCAGCCATTGAGCTTTTAACTTATTCCCTTCAACTTCTTTCATTTCAGCCTCGATTGTGCTGCCAGAGTTGCCGGAGGTGCCGTCAGGACTCCCGTACTTCATAACAAGTCGTCGAGCATGGTACATGGTGGCGGCATTGGCAATCTCGAAAGAGCTGGAGACTGCAACGATAGCAGTTGCATCTTGTTCTTCACCATCGTTTCGTCCTCTGATCTGGACGTGGCCATCTTGATGAACAAGCTCAGTAAGCACATCGCTGACACTGACAGCGAGTATCACGACGTGCTGGCCGTCGTTTCGCAGAAAAGAAGCAAGGACTGCTTCTTTATCAGGAGCGAAATCCCCCTTGCCATGTCGCGGAGCCAACCAAGGGCTCCAAAGTCGGACAAGAGCAAACCACTTATGACATTCAACAGGTTTGCCCAGAGTGTGGTGAGCCCAACCAGATGTACTGCCGGACGCTGGGCCGACTTTTCCAGACACCGTCCAAAGAAGCGTGTTGGGCGTCTGGGCGGCCTGCTCGTCAACAACAAGGTCGGAGCTAATGTTGCTGATGTATTGCGACAATCCAGCTTGAGGGATGTCGGCCTGGTAGATAAGATGTCCATCCGAAAAGGAAAATTGTTCGTTCGCCCATTTCCACGGCTCGTCTTTCCCGGCTCTGAAAGTGATTGTGAATGAGGCATGGGATCGTCCACGGGGTGGTCCGGTCAATTCTCCCGAGAACCATCGCCTTCGACAGTTGTTGGCATCTCCATGGTCGACGAAGAGCTGAGCTTGTGGCTCATCTTCGCTGAGCATCAGCTTTTCCCAGGTGTCAGGATGGCCATGGTTGTGCCAAAGTGCCACCTCCCAAGCTTTGTCCGATTCGGTTTCGATTAGTGCGGTGAACCGTACCTACGTAGTAAAGCGTGTCAGTCGATGCTTCGCAGGGGGATCAGACACAAAGCAAAGGGGAAGTTACGCGTTGCGTGCCTGGAGCCACCACTGTGGTCTGACCCAGCGCAGGCGAGCAGACAAGGTTTGCGTACATTTGATGCAGGTAGGGCCGCGACGACGGCTACTGAGATGACACTAACTCAATGACGGAGGATAATTTCGAACAGACTTTGATGGGTGTCGGGAGCCAAAGTGAAGAGGTCGCAGGCAGTGCGTATGCGTATGTGTTAGGTAGGTTCGGAATCTGGGGAAGCTCACAGCTCACCCGATGACATCGTGCGGAGACAGCACCAACGGCTTTGCCGGAGTCGGCCCGGCGCGTGCGGCAACTCGCCCATGCGCTGATCAAAAAGTTTCATAAACACGTCGCAATTCGCTTCCAATGGCGCCTTTAACGCTTTTGCGGAACGCCTTACGGCCAGGACAATATGCCCTTCGGCAATGTCCTCTCCGTCGTGTCTTGCCAAGGACTGTGCGACGGTCCATCACCCAGGGAACTATACGCAAGAGGATTGAGGCAGAATGGGAGTGGAAAGAGCAGGCGAAGCAGATCAGAAAAGGCGAGAAACAAAGTTTTTTAAGCTTTTTGGAAGAGCGCGGGTACATCAAGCAAATTGCTGGGTAAGGAACACCCCATCTTTCTTGGACATTCGCTGACGGAAGCCTCGCAGTGGAAGAGACATCCTCGATAGAGCCATGACCGATAAACGCCTCGGCGCATACGTGGGAATCGATCCAACAGCCCCTTCGATGCACGTCGGACACATCTTACCTTTCATGGTCATATTCTGGATGTATCTACACGGATTTCACGCAATAACACTCCTCGGCGGCGCCACAGCCAAGGTCGGGGACCCTACGGACAGGCTCCAGGCCCGGGATTTGGGAAACTCTGCTACTCGCAAAGCCAACATGGCTGCGATGCATTTTCAAATAAAAAAGATATGGGCGAGCGTGGAAGTACAAGGACGGAAACATGGCTTTCAAAGACAATGGTCGTGGAGGCGCGCGCTGGTGAATAACAACGTATGGCACCAAAAACTGACGGTGATAGAGTTCTTAAAGGTCCTGGCTTCAGGCATTCCTCTAGGCCCTCTCCTCAGCCGGGATACGTAGGTCGTCTGGCAACAAAACGGTTGCAAATAAACTGGAAGTACTGAGCTGACAAACGATAGAGTCAAGAACCGTCAAAAAAAAGGGAACGGCATGTCATTTGCGGAATTCACTTATCCTCTGCTTCAGGCCTGGGATTGGTGGCACATGTTCAGTCACAACCGGATTACCATTCAGGTCGGTGGATCTGATCAGTTCGGCAACATTGTGGCTGGCATAGATGCCATAAACTATGTCAGAAGGACCGTACTCGAGCCTCTAGTTCAAGAGCAAGTACTCCCGCCGACTCCCGACAAAGAGTATATGTGGGCTCCCTATGGCATTACTGTGCCTCTCCTAACAACGCCATCGGGCGAAAAGTTTGGCAAAAGTGCTGGAAATGCAATTTGGTTGGACAAGGAGATGACTAGCAGTTATGACCTATATGGGGTATGCCACTCGATTCTTACTTTTCATGACCATCAACGCTGACAGTAGACCTGCAGTTCTGGATGAAAACTCCTGACTCCGAAGTCGAGCGCTACCTGAAGCTCTTTACGTTCCTGCCTCTTTCGACCATCAAGTCTACGGTACAAGAGCACATGAAGGATCCGTCGCAACGTGTGGCTCAGCACCTTCTTGCCGAGGAATTCGTTGAATTGGTTCATGGGCAGCAGTCCGCAAGGGAAGCTGCTGCGCAGCACAAGGCGTTCTTTCTCGGGCGTGCGACGAAAAACAATGATGCTACTGCCGGGAATGTTCCGATTGCGTGGGACAATGCTCCTTCGACCAGAGTTAAGCTCCCTGAATCACTCGTGTATGGGCAGACATGGAGCAGTATCCTCTGGAGCGCAGGTTTGGTAGCTAGCAAGGCCGAGGCGAACCGCTTGATTCAAGCGCAAGGCGCTTATGTGGGAAGCAGGCCAGGCCAAGTCGGAGGTATGGGTGACGAGGTCAAGTTCACGCCAATCAAAGCCCCGCATCAAGGAGACGCGGTACAATACATCTTCGACGAGAAGCATTTGCTGCTGAGAATTGGTAAGTGGAAGATCAAATTCGTGGAAATCATTAGCGACGAAGAGTTCAGGGAAAAGGGTCTTGAGGTACCGGGCTGGCAAACCAAAGCTGAGGGCGCCAAAGCTGGGGGCGCCAAAAATCAATGAAGCGGATTGTAAGTCGGGGGTTGTGGGAAAAAAGTTTCAAATAGATGCCATCACGCCGCTCAAATATTACTCCTATAATGTAAGAGGTTTTGCCAGAGCTTCCGTTGATTTCGTGACGGAGTTTGGCAAGCAAGCCGCCCGGCTAATCTCCGCACAAACGCCAGACGCGTCTATCTACGCGTCAACGCGTCATGGGCCGGGGTCGCGCGTCTTGATTGACGGCTTCCATTCCGCCCACACACCTACTGCCGCCACCAAATCAACGCAACCATGGCGCGAGGTATCGAGGGAAACGAAATGTCCACCCCAAAGCCGGCCAAGCTCAAAAAGCAGGCCTCCACCTCCAGCCAGCCGAAAAGCACGCAGAAATCAATCCTTGGTTTCTTTCAGAAAAAGGCCGACGCCAGCAGCCCCAAACCGGACACGGCGCTCAAATCCTCGCCTACTCCCGCCCCAGCGACGCGTGAAACTCGGCGGAAGAGCGATGCGAGTGCTCTGCCGCCCGTACCTGGCAGTGACGCCCTTATGTCTTCGAGCCCGGTGTTCAGCGGCGATGAGCAGGGCAAGGAGAAAGAGAACGGTTTGTCGCTTCTGAAATGTCGACGATTCCGAGTGCTGATGGCCTCCAAGAGCTTCCGAGTTTCGCTGCTGCAACCAGTCCATCCCGAAAGGCAAGCCGCACTTCACGAGTATCGTTGGGACTCGGGCTGACATTCTAGTAGACGAAGAAGGCGATCAGTTATGCCGAATCCGAAGACGAAGACGACGCGTTTCAACCTGTATCAGCAAAAGTGACCAACGGACGAGCAAAACGGAGAAAGCTTGTGACAGAAGACTCGGATGATGATGAGTATGGGGTTGATGCCGCTACGGAGGCCGCCATGCTGGATGAGGGTACGTCAACGGACTTCTTCGTTGCGGAGGCACGCGCAATTTTGGTTGCGGAGTTGGAATCTAACATTGGCCAGATATAGACGACTTCGTTGTCCCAGATGATTCGGATGAAGACGTCGCGCCAAGAAAACGAAAGCGCGCATCGGCTCCTCAATCTCGCAAAGTCTCGAAGAAGTCGTCTCCTATTCCACCGCCCTCTGAAGATGAGGATGTCGACATGGATAGGGGAGCAACCTCCACGGCGCAGCAATGGAAATACGATCCCGAGAACCTAGGACCTTTGAATCCTCGCACTTCTCCAGATACCGCCAAGAAAGCCGCAACTGCCAAAACAGCCAAGCCAAAGGCGCACATGTCGGAGCCGGAGCAACGCTACACATGGCTTGCGGATATTCGTGACGCAGACAGAAATCCTCCTGATCATCCTGACTATGATCCTCGCTCCATCTACATCCCACCTCTGGCATGGAACAAATTCTCCCCCTTTGAGAAGCAGTATTGGGAAATCAAGCAAAGGCTCTGGGATACGATCGTGTTTTTCAAGAAAGGAAAGTTTTACGAGCTGTATGAAAACGATGCCACGATTGGCCACCAGCTTTTTGACTTGAAGCTTACGGACCGTGTCAATATGCGCATGGTTGGTGTACCCGAAGCTTCTTTGGACATGTGGGCAAACCAATTCGTGGCCAAGGGCTACAAGATTGCTCGTGTGGATCAAATGGAGTCTGCGTTAGCCAAGGAGATGCGCGAGAGGGGAGGAGCCAAACCCACCAAAGTCTCCAAAGAAGACAAGGTTATCCGCCGGGAGCTTTCAACGGTCCTGACAGCTGGTACGCTTGTCGATGGAGGTATGCTCCAAGATGACATGTCTACCTATTGCGTTGCCATCAAGGAGGTTGACCGAGACGACCTACCTGCGTTCGGTATCGCTTTTGTCGACACCGCTACGGCCCAGTTCCAGCTCTGTGAATTCGAGGATGATGTTGACATGACAAAATTCGAGACTTTTGTCGCGCAGATTCGGCCAGGCGAGTTACTGCTTGAAAAATCTTGCATATCCGCAAAGGCACTCCGCATCCTCAAGAACAATACCAGTCCTACGACTCTTTGGAACTACCTCAAACCATCTAAGGAATTCTGGTCAGCGGACAACACTTCTCGCGAGATTGACGCAAGCGGATACTTCGTTTCTGCCGACCAGAATAACATCGAAGCCTGGCCCACCGTTTTACGAGAAGCCAAAGAAGACAAAGATCTTGCTATGTCTGCTTTTGGTGCTCTGCTTCAATACCTTCGGACTCTCAAAATCGAAAGGGACATTGTGACCCTCGGGAACTTCTCATGGTATGATCCGATCAGGAAGGCTACGAGCCTGGTGCTTGACGGTCAAAGTTTGATCAACCTTGAGGTGTTCGCCAACAGCTTTGATGGCGGCACGGATGGCACGTTGTTTTCCATGCTCAACCGGTGCATCACTCCATTCGGAAAGCGCATGCTCAAGCAATGGGTCTGCCATCCTCTTGCAGATGCCCGGAAGATCAACCAGCGACTGGATGCAGTTGATGCCCTGAACGCAGACAACACAGTTAGGGACCGCTTTACTGCCTCTTTGAGCAAATTGCCAGATCTCGAGCGCCTCTTGTCCAGGGTTCACGCTGGCAGAATTAAGGCCCAAGATTTTGTCAAGGTCGTTGAAGGTTTCGAACAGATCGAATACACCATGAGCCTTTTGAGCCAATTTGGTTCTGGTGAAGGCGTGATTGGCCAATTGATATCTGCAATGCCCGATCTTTCTGGGTCGCTGAAGCATTGGAGAGATGCTTTTGACCGCGGCAAGGCTAAACAAGACGGCATCTTGGTACCGGAACCTGGTGTAGAACAAGATTTTGATGACAGCCAGCAAACGATTGAGGAAGTGCTTGCGGAGCTCGAGTCTTTGTTGAAAAACGTTCGCCGCGAGCTGGGTTCCGCTGCCATCTGCTATCGCGACAACGGCAAGGAAATCTATCAGCTCGAGGTCCCCATCAAGGTTAAGGGTATTCCAAAGTCCTGGGACCAGATGTCCGCCACGGCAAAGGTCAAGCGGTACTACAGCCCTGAGCTCCGGGGGCTTGTACGCAAACTTCAGGAGGCACAGGAAACACACGGCCAGATCGTCAAGGAGGTCGCAGGAAGGTTTTATGCGCGATTCGATGAAGACTACTCCACTTGGCTGGCTGCTGTCAAGATCATTGCCCAGCTCGACTGTCTCATCAGCCTTGCCAAGGCTTCCGCTTCGCTCGGGGAGCCTAGTTGCAGGCCGAAGTTTGTTGACTATGAGAGAACAGTCTTGGAGTTCGAGGAGCTGCGTCATCCGTGCATGCTCACCAACGTCACGGATTTCATCCCGAACGACATCAAGCTTGGTGGCGACTCACCGAACATCGACCTTTTGACGGGTGCTAACGCTGCTGGAAAGTCGACGATTCTCAGAATGGTAAGCCAACTTCCGGTCACCGTGTTTGATTTGAATGCTAACAAAATCCCAGACATGCATCGCAGTCATCCTTGCTCAGATCGGATGCCATGTACCCTGCACTTCCGCCACCCTCACTCCAGTCGACCGCATCATGTCGCGTCTCGGTGCCCAAGACAACATTTTCGCCGCGCAATCCACGTTCTTCGTCGAGCTTTCCGAGACCAAAAAGATCCTCTCAGAAGCCACGCCCCGCTCGCTGGTCATTCTCGACGAGCTCGGCCGCGGCACCAGTTCCTACGACGGCGTTGCCGTGGCCCAGGCCGTGCTGCACCACATCGCCACGCACATCGGCTGCCTCGGCTTCTTTGCGACGCACTACCACTCCCTCGCAACCGAGTTCTCCGGACACCCCGAGATCAAGCCCAAGCGCATGGCGATCCACGTCGACGACGCGAACCGCCGCGTCACGTTCCTGTACCAGCTCGAGGACGGCGTGGCCGAGGGCAGCTTCGGCATGCACTGCGCGGCTATGTGCGGGATTGCGGCCAAGGTGATTGAGCGCGCAGAGGTCGCGGCCAAGGAGTGGGAGCACACGAGCCGCCTTAAGGAGAGCCTGGACCAGGCGAGGCAAGGCTGCTATGTCCCGTTGGGCTTGCAGAGTGATGTCAGCTGGTTGCTGAAGGAGAGCCAGGACGTTGTGGACGAAAGGGGTATTGATGTGTTGATGAGGGCTGTGGAGGCTCTGTAAGTGATGGTATGTTGCTATGTCCGAGGATGTGTTGTTAAGAACACGCACGCGCGACGCTTCTGCTTTGCGTCCGGAGCGTTTGGCATGGTTGCTAAATACATGATGGACTGAGTTTTTGTTTCTGGAAAATGAGCGCTGGTTTGCTTTTCGGCGTTGGGTATGGCTTGAGGAGCTGTAAAGTCATGGTGTCATGTTATCATGGAGGAAAAGGTCGAAAGGTCTAAGAGCTGTGCATACTAGCAGAGGTATACACTGCTGTGATTAGGACAGTTTAAGATGATGGAATGAAGACAGTCTCGTTTTGTATGGCGCCAAGGATTCAGTTGCTCAGTTCAAAAATCTAACAGATTGGCTAATCCGTTGAGCTAGCGGACCAGTCTTCCAGATAAATGTCTCACTGACCCGACGTGGATTTATCCAGACTCGAGTACACGAACTTCTCAAACTCAGTCAGCAGCTCAATAGTCTTGTTATCTCCGGCCGGTACAAGCTGAGAGAGGTATATGCCGGCAACGCCGTTGTTGAGGTCCATCCACTACAAAAAATCAATCAATGAACTAGATTTCAACTCAAAAATGCACAAGACTTACCCAGTAGCAATTCGGGAACCCCCACCAAGTCAGTGAGTTTTCGCCCCGTCGGCCCGGAACAGCAGCAGTGTTAACCAAGCCACCAAGCCCAAAGCTCACAGGCACGTCATCAGGGACCGTATTCCAGATACCTTTCCGGAACGACGAGAACGCCGTAGCGTTCCAGACCGCATTACGGTACGTCGCGTACTCGGCCGGGTCGTCAAGGCCCTTGGTACCGCTCTGCAGATGGGATTTAAACATCTCCCTGACGGTCGCGGGCCGCAGGAGCGTCCCCGTGAGGACGCCGCGGTAGAGCTTGAGCATGTCGGTGACGGTGGCGTAGAGGCCGGCGCCGCCGAAGTCGTCGGCGACCGGGTCAGGCATGATGGGGTGTCGCTCCCTGACTAGGACGTGCCCTTCGCGCTCCCAGTTCTTGACTTTTCGGGCGCGGAGGTCGGCACGTTGGTCGAGGTGGAAGGTGGTGTCATTGGCGGAGACGGGGCGGAAGATTTGTTGCTCCATGTACGCGCCCAGGGGCATGGATGTGGCGCGTTCGATCTTGTGGTTTGAGTTCGAGTTGTGAATTGCTGGGTTTGGTGTTGTTAGGGGGTGCGGGACTTACTGCGAGGCCTGCCCAGTCGATGCTGGGGGAGTACAGCCATCGTTCACCCGGCTCGAAGAGGAGGAATGTGTGGAATGATTCTTTCTGTACTTCGCGGTTAGACGAAGATGGATTCAATGGTTGCCGGAATGGGTTTGCTTACGATGGTCTGCTGGATTAAGGGCCGGTTTCCATGCAGCTCATGGTAGCGCGCCAAGAGCGGATCCATGAACGTGTAGGCCATGCCGCTGGAGTGGGTCAGCATCTGCCTGATGATCATTTCATGTCAGTACAAATTCCAGTCTTTTACTACAAGCGCGCAATTTACCGCAGGGTAACAGCCTTCGTGGCTGGTCGGAAGATGGGTTCGTCCTTGTCGTTGAAGCCGGTCAAGATTTGGGGATCCTTCCACTCGGGCAGCACTTCTGCTATGTCGGAATCCAGGCTTAGTTGGCCCCTTTCGACACACTGCATCGCGGCAATGGTGGTCACGAACTTGGAGGCTGAGGCGATCCAATGCACGGCATCGGCATCAGTGGGGTCGGCAGATTCTTCTCCAAAAGCCTTGGCGCAGTGAAAGGTCCCTTGGTTTGTGTGGTCAGTAAACAACAGGCATTAAATGGAAGAATGAATTCGTATGCTCTTTACCGTCCTTGTTGATGGCGCCAAGGGTAACCCGCGGGAGAGGTAGCTTGTCCTCCTCACAGTTGTGACGGAAAGCCTTGACGGTTTCATCGAAAGAGGCCATGGTGGTAAAGGAACTCTAGGTGGTAGCAAGGGAGTAGCTTGGTTACTTGCCCTGACGCGCTTGTGGATTTGTATGCCTTTTTGTACTGAAAGGACCTTGTGTGGATCATGCTTCTTCCATCTGAAGTCTGCATTGAATGACGAGGCTACTTACATGGCGTAGCGTGGTTGAATCGGAATTAACCCTGTAAATGGAAGGCCAGAGCCCAGTGTACAAGGGGTCTCCAGGAACTCTGCAGCCGCTCCCCTGTCAATGCATATATTTTCTGAGCGGCTCACACCATCATCTCCCTATTTTCAAGAGCATTGATCAGAAATACAGTGGCCAACGGGCCACAATAGAGATCAGAGAGGCTCTTGTAGTGAGAATGTCTCAGTAGGGATCTCGAGCATATCGGTACCCTAAAAAATCACAAAGATCAATCATTACCTAATTTGTGAAACCAGAACCCAGACATGCCCCAGCCTCAAGGCCCCAAGGCCCCGTTTGGCAGGTAGGCAAGCCGTAAGCCGGTTGACAGGATATCCGGGACATCTCCACTTTCCTTTCATGGATGAAAGGCTGGACATACGTTAGTGTACTCTGAGCCTCACGCTAAGAGGATGTCGGCTTTTGTGTTTTCAATATGCGAAACTGTGAAGTTTGTTATGAAAAGAAGCGGTGCAGGAAGCAAGCACCTCCAGCAAATAGACAGTTGTTTGCGTCTGAATTCTTCAACCAAACACGGATCACCTGTTGCATGCTTAGTAAGGCGCTTATTGAGCGTTGTGCGTCCTTGTTTGTAGAAGTGGGGTGATAGAGAAGGTGATGCTGGGTGGCAGGGTGAAGGTGGAGGTGATGGAGATTAGATTGCTCTCTCCGCAGACCCGGCAGCTCCGACCACGGAAAATTCGTTGAGCCGTTTCCGTGTCAGATGTTCCGGCATGGAGCTTCCACTCCTGTTGGCGTTTCTTCCTTTTCTTTTCTTCGTCCCTCGTTACTGTAATTTTTATCTTGTCCGGGTCACATCATTGTGATATGCTCACTTACAGAAATGGAAACTCCTAGAAAAACTCCGCCCAAAGTCACCATTCCACGAAAAAAAGCGTGCGCTCCATGCTCCCAATCAAAGGTCCGGTGCGACCAAACCCGACCATACTGCACTCGCTGCGAGAAGCGTGGCATTACAGACGAATGTGCGTACGAAGAATCAGCGACCCAGGATACCGGTCGAAGGTCTACAAATAACAGCGGGCTGGGCTCTGTCTTTGTCGATTCCAGAGACACAAATCCCAGTGGCAATGGAATTGCCAAGACCGGCGGTCAAGCGAGTCATCTCCCCGAACCAGCGGGATTGTTCTTTAATGCAATACACTCACCATCACCATCTAATTTCTCTACTTCCTGGTCATCTTCTGGCTCTTTCATCACTTTAAACGCTTCCAGCTCCTCGAGAGGCACGCCGCAAGTCTTGAATTTTGCTGTTCTGGATCTGGTCTGTACAATAGATCCCGAAGAAGTCCGCAACAGATGGCTGAAGCTGTACCTGCCGATGACGGATCAAACACCAAAGTCATACCCTCCCAATGTCACTGCATTTTTATCGCGAATCCTCAAGGCATACTCTCTATCACCGGTGCGCAATGGCACGTTGCCACCTTTCGTTCACTTCTACCAACAAGCGCCGCCTTCGATTTCGACCCCTTTGGCAAACTGTCTCACTCTTGCACGCGTCTGTGATCAGCCATTACCAGGAAGCCAACCTGCCGTCCATGACACGCTCAAGCGGGAAATGGAGAGACTGTATTCCGAGTATACAAGCTACGGCGAGATGGAGTTATTGGCGGCATTCCAAGCTTACCTGATCTACGCTATGCTCATATACTTTCATTTCGACGAGACAAGAGAAAGTGGGCTCCAGCAAGCCATGCTCAACCTCCAAGACATGGCCTGCGAGGTTTCCCGTAGAGGCCTCGTGTCCACAGCAGAGCTCAACCATTCAAGACCCCAGTGGGAATCCTGGATCGTCGCTGAGGCAAAACGGCGGAGCATCTACACGATGTACTTGTTCGACAGCCTTCTTTGCGCCCGCGATGGCTTGCCGACGTTCCTCGGCACAGAGCTGAGAGGTGTCCCCGCCCCTGGCAGTAAGGAACTGTGGCAGGCTACTGATCGGGGGGCTTGGAGTCTTGCCTACAACGGATACTTGCATAAGTGGGGCAGCGACGGACAGCTTCGTATTGATGAGCTCTGGCCAGTTCCCCTGGAGTTTTCGGAAGCAGACATCGAGAACAGACGGAGCAGAGTTGACCACTGGGTCTCGTCTTTAGACGAATTCGGCACTATGCTATTCGCGGTCACATCCATGGTGCACGATCAGTCTTCTGGACAGGGATGAGACAACATACATCACAACTGGTTTCTACCACCAGTAAACGAGGTCAATTGAATTTTGTTGCTTAATTGCTGGGTTTTATCACAAAAACGGCACAACTTGATGTGCTCCCAGAGACATATTCCCAACGAGGCTCTATCTAAACAGACGTTTCTTGACTTTTGGTGGAGCCTCCGAGAGCTTGGATAGCTTGATCCACCGTGACAAGACTTCCAAACATCTTTGGTATTATCTTGTTCAAGGCCACATTGTTCACGGTATCGTTGTCGGTGATTGGAAGTTCGAGCACGTTGCCCGAAATCACAAAGCTAAGACACCGAGTCAGCATTTAGCTCCCCCCAAATCTTTTTATTCTTACATCTTGTAATCCAGGTCAAACAGCCGATAGGCTGTGCTCAATACGACGCCCGAAGTAGCAAGTCCTGACTGAAGAGCATTAGTCTGCTGCTTTGTCACTTCCGGTTCCCTTCCACTTACGATAATGACGGTATCAATATTCTGCGCCCTCAAAATCTGCTCCAATGTATTCTCGGAGCCCGCATACCACCTCGTCTTCTGCAGAACGATGTCGCGGTCCGCAACCTCAAAAGCCGAATCAATCTGAGCTCCCGGACTGCTCTGTTTCAAGATGCCGAAACCATCCACCAACTCCGTGAACGGCGCGCCTGGCTTGAGCTCCGGAGCTGTATCGTTTGCGAAATACAGGGATGTAAAGATGGTTAACGGCGGGGTAGGCAGTCGGTGCACGGCGTCGACCCATTTCTTCGTGTTTGAGATGAAAGCGTCACCAGCTTCGGTACCTTGGACAATCTCAATAAGGGCGCTCATGAGGTCGAGATTCAGGACGGCATAGTTGTTGCCGAAGTTGGGGATGGACATCGTGTCGTAGAAGGTTTAATGGGAGGTGGTGGATGGAAGAAGGTTGAGGATGTCCTGAAATAAGAAGGTAAGGTGTTTTTCAGAAGCAAGAAAGAGTTTTACCCTTACTTATGGCATTTAGAAGACATTAACGCTTTGTAATTTCATTGTAGGTAGTAATATGGAGCTGGCAACGAGGCATCGGGGAACTCGGGGAGCTGGACGCCACCATTTTCGGAGTTCCGAACTCGACCTACAGAAAGGGAAAGGCCAAGGCAGATAGGCCAATCGATCAGCTAACTGCCTGCTAACGTATATTCTATATATAAGTTTAACGATCCAACCTCACAGCTTCCTCGACCACACAAACTTGTCCTTCCACGATACCAACATGTCTAGCACATCGCCAAGTAGCACTGCTACCACCGAGCCTCAAGAGGCGCCTGCAAACGCTAGCCCCAAACCGGCCAGTGCATCCAACGAGCAACCATTCAGCATCTTTTCCAAGCCCGAGAAGGCCTTCATAATAATAATCGTCTCGACCGCCGCGACGTTCTCCGGCTTCGCCTCGAACATCTACTTCCCCTCGCTACCGACAATCGCATCCGACCTGGGCGTAAGCGTCGAGCTGGTGAACCTCACAGTCACTTCGTACATGATATTCCAGGGCCTGGCGCCGAGCCTATGGGGCGCGGTCGCCGATTCCAGCGGGCGGCGCATCACGTACATCTGCACGTTCCTGGTCTTCTTCGCCGCGTGCGTCGCCTTGGCCAACACCAGAAACTACGCGACGTTGGTCGCGGTCCGCTGTCTCCAGAGCACGGGCAGTGCCGCTACCATTGCTATTGGGTCGGGCGTGATAGGCGACATCACGACGCGCGCTGAGCGGGGCGGGTTCATGGGCATATTCCAGGCGGGGCTCCTTGTCCCAGTGGCCATCGGGCCAGTGATTGGCGGCGCGCTTTCGAGCAGCCTAGGGTGGAGGGCAATTTTCTGGTTCCTGGCCATCTACGCTGGGGCCTTCCTCCTATTCCTGGTAGTGTTTCTCCCAGAGACATTGCGGGCACTGGTAGGCAATGGCTCAGTGCCCTGCGGAGACATCATCAGGAAATATCCTCTGGCGCTATACCAGCATCGATACCAACGACGCTCATCCTCAATGCCGCCGCAACAGTTCTCGGACCTCCCACCCAAAAAGCCCATCAACATCCTCGCCTCGCTCCAAGTCCTGGTCGACAAGCGCGTCGTCCCTATCATCGCCTTCCTCTCCTTCTACTACATGGCGTGGCAAGTATCGATCACGGTGCTCTCCTCGCTCATGAAGACGACGTACGGGCTAGACGACACGAAGATCGGGCTCACGTTCATCGCGAACGGCGTCGGGGCCATGGTCGGCACCATCTCCACAGGCAAGATCCTCGACTACGACTACCGCGCCATCCAGCGCAAGTGCGCCGCCGCAGCAGCTACCACGGGCAGAGAGGTCGCGATACCACTCGACACGGCGCGCCTGCGCACCGTCTGGGTCTGGAGCGCCATGCAAGTGGCCTCGCTGCTCGTGTTCGGCTGGAGCCTGGACCGGCGCGTCCATCTCGCCGTGCCGATTATCGCGACTTTCTTCACCGGCTGGGCCGCAATGTCGCTCCAGAGTATGGTGAGCACGTACATCGTCGACGTGTTCCCTGATCGCAGCGCTTCGGCTTCCGCGGCCATGAATCTGGCGCGCTGTCTTATGGGTGCGGGGGGCACCGCTGCTGCTATGCCGGTTATTAAGGGGATTGGCGCCGGCTGGGGATTCACGTTGCTGGTGGGCGTTATGGTTGCTGCGCTGGGTTTGGTGGTGGTGCAGGTTCGGTTTGGGGGGAGGTGGCGTGAGCAGGAGAGAGAGGGGGAGTAGAGTGAGGGTGGGAGAGCCGTGGGGAAGAGTTTAGGAACGTTTGGTGGGGTTGGGTAATGCTAATGTTTGATCTTTTTTCGTTTCGGACGTACCTATTGTAATAGCGGAAGTAAAAGCTTATACGATTACTCACTTAAGCGTAGGTAGGAGCCTTATATACATATAGGTCTTTAATCCACTTCCAGATCTCATAAAATGTTTGCGCCGTTCACCCGAGAAGGCCCCCATGGAGCTACCCGGATACTGATAGGAATTATTCACTGAGATCTCTTAAGGGCAGCACTAGACCCTATCTTTCTACACTGGTTTGTTCTTAATTTTCTACCCTGTCTTCCTATCTTTGTCTCTTTGAAGTACTCGAGCAGTAACATTCGCTATGTAGTTAACAATCTTGGAGGGTTCTCCGACCCCTAAATTATGTAAGACCTCATGTACTTACAGTAGTGCCCTCACCACGATCTGAGAGGAGTAGTACATTATTAAGGTTACATGGTTTGAGACAATAGGAAAGAAATTATCTTCGACTCTGGTTTCTAAATGAGTAGTTATACTGCAGGCTTAAATGCATCTGCTGATAGATACCGTGTTGTTCGAACGTATGTGCATCATTGACGTAGGCGCCAAGCTAGCTCGACGCATCATCATGAATCGGATCAGAATAGAAGACGATTCACTAAACCAAGGGACGACAAAAAAAAGCGCATGGATTATCCCTCAATGTAGTCAACGCACGCATATTTATACACTATCGATCCCCGCGTTTGCATTACTCTCCGTCTCATCCCCAGTCTCACTCAAACGCCTTCAAAGTCCACTACCAAACCCCACAACCAGCGCACTCGCAGCCATGCACGTCAAAGCCCTCGTTCTCACCGTCCTCCTGACCGCCGCGCTCGGAGAAGCCCGATGGGACGGTGTAAGTGCAACTCCTCGCACATACTCACAGCGCCCTCACTCACGCATCGTAGAAATGCACAAAGAACGGAAAATGCAAGCACCTCTTCATGAAATTCTCCTGCGACAGGGGCACCTCGGTACGCAGCGACACCCACAACCCGAGCGATCATGCAAACGTGACAGTGTTGCTAATGCGTGCTTTTTGACTCTTATAGTGCAAGGGAGCTGAAGGCCGCCCTTGCAAGATAGATGGTATAGTGCCGGCGTATTATGTTGAATGCCCTATTCAGGTTGAGCCGGAACCGTATGGTGATGAAGTTGCTGAAGAAAATGATTGAGCTGCTGGATGTGGAGGGTAATGAGCAGGTGAGCGAGCCCGTTTCGGTGATGCAAGGGGAGAGCCCGTAGTGTAGTAGTTGGCTATGTAGCTAATATAAACGTGTTTTTACTGCCATGGTCATGCGTGCTAGATAAGAAACGGGGTCTTTGGATGGTATAAAGCTTTACAGTGTATCTGATTCTATATCTCACCTGCTCTTGTATTACTAACTACGAAATCGCGCAGAAAAGAGCAGGGAAATTGGGAAGCGAAATGACTTAAGTCGTTTTCCTCTTAGGTGGGTTATATAAGTTGCAGCAGGTATGATAAGTATATGTATAAGGATCATTGCCGGATAATGCCCAGTCCCCTGCTTTCAGTTTGGCCTAGAATAGATAAAGAATATTCATGTTTGTTAACTCTTAGCCGCCTTTCAGCTGTCCACAAGATTCTCTAAGAGCACATGCAACCTAATATTTAGACCCCTAGTTGCTCCCCAACGCAAAATACCAATAACCCGTATGATTGGCTGTCACTACAAAAACTAATTGTTTAAAAGGCATACAGGGTGTGGCCACGTCGGAGTTGATGCCTTTTACAGGTATAACATGAGAATCAGCAGAAACCTTTCTAGTTCAGGTTTAACGCTTGCTTGAAACAACTACCCCTAGTTTGAGGTAATTAGAGAGTTACCGTAAACACTACAGTTATACACATTTCAAAAGGGCATCAACTCCGACGTGGCCACACCCTGTACCAACTTTTTTAGCGGAAGACACAACAGTGGATGAGCATAAATGATCCAAAAGTACTATTGCTGCTTCGGGATAACATATACTCGTAGATTAGCAAGGCATTAGTTAATGAGAACTTCAGAATGCAAAAGCACCAGACGAGCCATAAGCCAGGTGCTCGGAAGTCGTGGGGTAGTACAGCACGGCAAAAAGCAAAAACAAAACATACAACAGCTGGGATTCGCTAGTGGTCACCCACCTAACTACTAATCAGCCGGTTCATAGCTTATGTATGGCAGAGCGGACGGGATGCCCAGTATTCTATGACCTATGGTCGTATGTATCTAAATAATGTGAAAGTTAAATTTATATACACACCATTTTTGGTCGACCGGCAGACCGGCAGCTTCCGCCGACCGGCACACAATTTTGGATGGAACAAGTTTACGACTAAGCACCAACGGATAAACAAAATTTTTGTGCATGGGAGTGTTCTCAAATGATTATTGGTTGGACAAGTTTGTATCGAATAAACAACGGCAAGCTATAAATTCGTAATCTGACAGTTGCGCATACCCGGATCACCGTTCAGCATACACGTCAGTGAGTTATTATCCTTTCCGCAATTGTACGGCATCTTCCTTATCCTGATGACTAGGTCCAGTTCCCTGAATAGTTGTTACAGTCGTCTTCGAAAACCATTCTGATCTGCGCTTCGATATAGGCATCTAGGTAAAGACATCTCGTTTTCCATCATCATGACAAACAGACTCTCTCTTCATCGTCCCGTTTCTGAACAAAAAACCTCCTTCGCAGCTCTAACTGATTGACATGTGCTCTCACAGTCTTGTCGTCCACCATTGAGCTTTCCTTCAGCAGTTCCTCTGTCTCCGGCGCCTTGAGCTGGGCTACGGCCTGCCAGACGTTGTTCAACAGTGAATAGCGGGTAGTGGAAGCGAACCAGATGGCGGTAGTAATAAAAAGAGCCAGATGAAGCACAATGTTCACTGCGACTATGGTAAATCCCTTGGTGTGCTGTGGCACCTGACATGGCTCGAATGATGTTGTTTCGATGATTTCCTCGGCGTTGAAGGTGGGAAGAAGGTCGTAGTAGGCTGTCCGTATCACAGACGTAAGGAGCGCTTGTAAAGCCAGTGCTGGATTTTCCGTCTCTTCCATTATATCTAAGAATAAGCTGTTTAGAACAGGATTTAACTCGAGTTCTTCGGTATTGGAATTGGGGTCTACTATGACTTTCTGGACAACACCTAGAAATGCGTCCCAAACTGTAGAGCTGAGGAAATCAGCTGTTTCGTTTGTGGAGTAATTAGTCCAGAATTGCTCTTGGGTCTCGCTGTTGTTATAACTTTGACTTTGAGGAGGATTAAAAGACATGTTCAATGGCCAGCGAGTCTGAATGTTTTGATCTGTTGATACCTTAGCGACATTAACATATATTGCATTATCCAGGCTACTAACCGTCTTTGAAAAGATAGTCGTGTTTTGGAGACCATGAAGCCTTGAAATTGGCCATAGCCGCATATACACTCGTAATATCTAGGTCCAGGACGCCTCGATCGGCAGATGATAGTCTGCTTGTGTCTAGCTGATCTCGTAACGATCTTGTGTCGTGTCTTTTGGCTGTGGGATCCCATCGAACTTGAAGCTCGTTATGAGTCGATTTCTTTTCTGCCGTGATATAGTAGTCTTGTACGTGTTTGACACGAACCCTACCAAAGGCATAGGGGTATCTGACGTCAGGTTAGCGTATGTTAAAATACATAAGTAAATAAACTCTCCTCTTTATTATAACAGATGGTCGTCAACAATAGTGTGAGAGTACTTACAATGCGTCGTAGCACATTGTTACGCTTACTGGAAGTGTACCGTTGCTCGTTGGTATTAAATACTCGGCCCACGGCCCCTTATTCCCCACAGTACGATTAGGATGCTCTTCGCGATCCCAATGCGTTAAATTAGGGGGACTAGACTTGACAAGGAAGTAAGCCCATCCTGTTTCAACATTCCACTCCACATTCTTATTATCCATTGCTTTCCACCCATCGAAATAAGACTCATGTTCAGTGAAGTTTTGATACAACTTATTGACAGGAGACTTATAACTACTGAAGTTCTGCAACGTGCCATCTTGTATTGGGTCAATCGAACTGATGAGTCCGGTGTCAGGAATGCTGAATATCCGGAAAGAAGAAGTTGTTTGGTCAGTTAAAAAAGATTTTTTGTCTTTCAAAATGAGGTCTGGCTTGTATCGGGCAACCTCTGTGTCTGCTGCAGGGAAGGGAAAGGTATCTTTAAGATCGTCTTCGAGATATGCTGGAGAAAAGCTGCCCCAATATAGTATATTTGTCCAAGTCTCATTGAATGTCCAAGTCTCATTAACGACAATCGGCGGTCTTGCGCAGACAACTCGAGCATCAAACAGAGAGGCAGGTCCAGTGTATTGAGAGAGCTTAGAGCGGTCTTCTCCTGAAGATAATGGCAACAGTGCGCGAACCGTCGGTCCCGTATCCACAACGGATTCTGGAAGATCTTTGGGTTTGCTGTTCCATTCAGCGAAAGTAGGATAGTTCGGCGATGATGCTTTCCAATAATATGGAGTCTTACTCAGGATGGACTTGAAAAGACCCCGAGTGTAATCCTCCATGCGGTACCCAATCATAGCTTTAGTTTTCGTAGGAAAGCCGAGAACGGGACCAGGACGGACATCCCAAAGCAGCAAGGTCGAGGTAAACTGTGACAGCAAGGATGTGCATGCTAGGAAGTTGACGGCGATAAGCACCATCATGTTCCTCTTCCGCTGAAGGTTGCGCCAGAAGGGCAAAAGAGAAGTTATAGGTCCGGTGTTTACGGCTCGTGCGAGCGACAAAGCAGGAGTTTGATCAAGCGAAACGCCTCCCTGGGCCATGGACTCAAGAGAAATAGCTGCAAGCATCATTATTGCAGTGCTGGCCTGGGTTGACATGGCCAAACGGATAGCGAGTGTGCAGAGAGTAATTACCTGATTCACCCAGCCATGTATCATGACCCGGCGCCAGGAGACGTTAGTATCTCCCCCGAACCAGAGGAACGATAATGCCGAGATGCTTGCCGCCAGGAGAACGATGGAAACGACGTTTGAGACAACAAGGAATGTGCCAAGCCGCTTGGTAACATTGAATCTCTGTGTGCCCTTTTTGTGATAAAGCAGCGGCAACATCTTGAATGGCTCATGAGGTCCATTCTGTTGCTCATCGGCTTCGAGGTCTCTGGAAGACACTGGTGAAGGTGGCTTAAGTGTCGCGCCCCTCGAACCATCAACGCGAGAGGGTGTCGGGCTGTGTGTTGTTACTTCAGTATTTTCATTCGAGTCCTGAAGCGAGGTTGGACTCTCGCTAGAACTGTTTGGGCGGAGGGTCTCCGGGACATCGTCCTGTTCGACAGAATCTCTAGGTATGCGAGACCAAGACTGTGAGACCATATTTTGATTGAAGCCGGAAAAAAAGTCTGAGCGGTGAAATTTTCGTGGGTGAGTAGGAGCAGGATAGGTAGTAACAAACAGCAAAAGCTGGCTAAATGCGAGTGGAAAATGCGCTACTATATATAACGCAAAGTCACTTGTCCATGTTGGCCCCCCATACGAACCTTGTTAAAGTACCCGTCGGACTTACCGCAGAGAGACGCCCGCTGCATAGAGGTGGGTACCTATATCCATGAAGAGATCGGGATGCAGCTCAGCTGAAAGTAGGTTCAGCCTTGACCACACATGGCGAACTACACCTCCAACAACTTGAGAATCGGCTCGCGACAATATTTGGGGGATATATACCACGAAAATCATTAGAAGTTGAATCGAAAGCGAATCGATTGAGTAGAGGAAGCCATGGAAGCCGCGAAGCGAACAAAATAGCAGCTGAGCTGAGTCAGCCCGCTAGCGTCGATGGCCCGCAGACATATGCTTGCATGGGTACTTCAACTTGGAAATTGACGTCGTGAACAAGGATTCATATGCACTGTGAAAATCGGATAGCTGATCAGATGATGAATGCATGTAGAATGGGTTGATCTGGAAATCGGCTTCCCATTTTCAGAACCAAATATGCTGCAACACTACCCGGAGATACAACCTTCGGCGTGACGGTCTATTTCTTCAACAGTGTTCCAGCAATTCCGACATGTCGAGTAACTCGCAACTTCCTATATAACCCCCGGAAGTCTTTATCCTCTTCGGTAGAAAGAGAACCACAGTATGTTTGTCCCACCCACTGGAAGGCCAAGTCTCGAGCAGCAAGCCGACTCTGTCCTCATTCCCTATTGTGGCTTAGCGTTTACCGGATGTGGCTTAGCTTAGCTTGGTCAGCGCTGCCGCGACGCTCTCTTTCGGGCACCGCGACCAGTTGCTTTACACACCAACTTTGCTTCAGAGCCAGGCGCTTTCAACGCGCAACGCCTCCAACGGCGTCCTCGCCTGGCAGGGCGCTTCATTCACCTCTCACTGCTGTCCTGAGACTTTCAACGTCGCAAAATGACCCCATCTAACCCTTCGGATAGCGGCCAGAGTGCTGCGCACGATGCGAACGCTGACCGAACGATGAAGAAAGAACAGGACGATACCAAGAGCTCTCAGATTGATTTGAGCGACAAGGACGAAGAGGACGCAAAGCCTTCTTCCTCGCCCTCTCCACTTGAACCTACAAGCATGACCGCCCAACTGGCTGACACACAGGTCCCTCTCACCGAAGCAAATCTCACCGTGCACACAATCCAGACGCACGAATCCATGCCGCCGAAGCCGCCGCCATGGATGTCGTCATCAACCGAAGCGTCTGTGACTTCAGGCGCATCGAGGAAGGCAATGTCCGAACGTGCACCTTCATTTCCGTCTACAACCGTGACCGCCCAGCCGGCAGCCATACGGGCCTCTCTCACCATAGCCAATCTCGCCGTGCACACAGCCCAGACGCCCGGATACAAGGCGCCGCCGCTGCCGTCAACCGTAGCTTCTGTGATGCCAGATGCATTAGAGAAGGCAATGTGTGAGGAAGTTCAGCGGCTGGTACGCGAGCTTAGTGCGCACAGCATAAACGTAGTATACAACAAGGATGCTCGGCCCCCTGGAATTCAGCAGATCGTCGATCGCGTCCTTGGTCCGCGGAGAGACATGAAGGGTAAGGCGAACGATGCGGAGAAGTCGGACAGCCAGTCCCGGTATATCATGAAACTCCTGGAACACGAACACGCTTGTCGGTATTACATGAACGGGGACGACTTGAAGAGACTCTACAGTACTAGTCTCTTCTACGGTGATCACTGCGACCGTGAGGAAGATGAAATACATCCTAACGTCCAAAGAACTGACGATGCACAATGGAAGACCAGTGCAGAAAACGTCCATAACGGGCCGAAGCTCCCTCTCCCCACGCCTGGCATTACATTCGGATACCCTAAATCTTCTTTTACACAGGATCAGCATAGCGAGCTCACTCGCAGGTATGCGGACGCGCTTGTGCTCTCTGACACATGCCTGCCATACCACGTCGTAGAGTGGGAAGGTGCAGACAGCAACTACAAGCGTGCCGGCGAGGTCGAGGCGCTCCTAGGTGCAGCTACAGCAGTAAAAGCCAACCATCTTCTCTACACGAAACTCGGCATTTCGACTAGCCCCGAGGATACTGCGATGTTCGCAACGGTCGTTGAATCGGAATTTGTTACCACCTACGTGTGCTGGAGGGAGGAAACGGAATCGGCACTTGTGTTTCGCATGAGTCCGATCAAGGAATTGCAGCTGAGCCTAGAGAGAGAGGCTGATGCTTATGATGCCAGGAGCATCCATATTAACATACGGGAGTGGGCTACGGAAACAAGACTGCCTCTCATAAAGGGTGCTTTGGATGCATCCTTTAAGATACATACTGAAGAAGCTGCTAAGAAGACCGCTGAAGAAACTGCTAAGGAGTCTAAAAAACGATGCCGCGAAGAGAGTGCCGAGGAGGAAACCGAGGTTACAGAGAAGAAAGCTAAGAAAGATGATGTTGAGGAACCTACACCGCCTACATCAGACAGCGGCTAGGCGCGACCAACCCACCCAAGCACCGCACATTCTCTCTCCAACCCACTTAAATACAACTTCAAGGACGACCAAGACAAAAGCAGCGATGACAACAGCATTGGATTCAACCCTCCGTCGGCATCTTCATGTAATTCCCCGTACAAGACTAAAATCTCGACAGAGCGGCCTGAGTGGAGACTTTCCGAGACATCGTCCTCCCCGACCACTTCCCCAGTCCAAAGAGCCAGGTAACCAATCCCGAGAACTGGGCTTTTCCTTAAGAGAGTGAGGGGGAGATTACAGCAAGAACAGCATAACAACAAAACTTCAAAAATGCACAATCTGGCTGTACTGTGCTGTACTGTGATGTGACGTGACATGAAATGGGCGGGAGATTCTCTGATTGCACTGATTATGCCACGATTGGATCGGATTGGATGTGGTATCGACTGATCAATTGAGAAGATTTTTTTGTTGTTCGACTGGCTGCGTTGTGGTAAATGTTGTGTGCACCGCCATATATTCATGCACTTACACCTCTCCACCAAGTAATCTCCTCGTGGCTTGCAGAACCATTATGCCACGCTTGCAACTGGCTCCTGGAAGTCGTAGACCCAATGTCCGCACATCCCAGACATCACGTCCCCAGAACCTCAGACATGCTGTTTGAGCTTAACTACTTTGACATGAATGAGTGGATGAAAACACGCCAAGGAATCAATGGTGAGAGCAAAGTGTTTTTAATTTCGATCGTGAAGTAGTTAGCTAAGTTTTTCGGAGAGCAGTTTGAGTGCTCAACGGCGCCGCGGCGCGTACATGATGGGGCTGCACTACTCGACTGCTTTAGAGTGGGGGTTGTGAAAGGAAATGCCATGTGCAGGGGTGAATATGTGTCCAAATGCTGTTCGTTGCGCAAGATTCAGATATCCAGAGTGCAATGGCCGTGGATATCCAAAGAGGCAAATAAGCTCCTGGAAATTTCCGCCATGCCGTGATAGAATCGCCCATGCATCGCGTGGGCTGTCGTGACTGTCGTGGAGCAAAGCAAAGAAAGAAAGAAGGAATCAGAACACAAAATGCAAATTGCCACCCAGAAGACCAGTCAAATCCTCCCAGAGTAACGCTCTCCTAAGAGGCGCTGCACTATCCTCTGCGTAGTGCACCAAAGTGAAAGTGCGCCGATGGCATGCCGTGGCATAGATCTAAGCGCTGTCATCCTCGTAAGGATTGAACGTGTCGAAGAAAGTGTGAGTGGGCTCCAGCTCCACTTCGACCCCGACAGCGACTCCGCCATCTTCATCATGCTGTTCTTCCTTGATGCGCGAGTTGCCGCCAGCAGCGACACCAGCAAGAGGAGTAGGCTCCTCGTCATCGTCTTCGTCGTCATCGGTGGGCTGGCTAGATGGGGTAGGCGGGAGGGCAGCGGCAGTCTTTCTGCCGCGCGGCTTCTTGGCGGGGCTGCCGGCGTCGCCATCGGAGTTGGCCTGCTTCGCGGTCCGTTTCTTGGCGGGTGAGGCGGTGACACTTTTGTTGGAGTTGGCAAGGAGCTTCTTCTTGATGGTTCCCCAGCAAGCGCTGGCCGAGGCAGCGTTCTTGAAGTTCGCGAGCTGCGCCAGCTTTTCATAGTCGACCTGTGTGAGGGCTTGTTAGCTTGCTGTCTTTGTGTGGCGAGACGCGTTTCATGGGTACTGAAGCTGCGGAGTGGAGGGTGAGGTGAGGGTGAGGATGGGCAGAACGCTGAACTTACCGACGGGTCAGACTTGAAGCACTGCCAGACAAGAGCAGTGACCTCGAGATCACGAGCTGATAGATTGGAGGCTTTAGCAGGAGGAGCCATTGTGACAGTCTGATGGTCGACGCAGTTGGGATGGAAGGTCAGCTAGTTGAATGACTTTCGAAAAGTAGTGGAGAAAGAAAGCCAGAGAGTTGAAGAAAGAAGCTTCTTAAATCCGCTCGAAACTGCAGGCAGATGAATCCAAACTGGAAAGAGTCTGCGTCTACTTCCTTCCTTATCCTCAAACGCTAACACACGCACCTTCCCGACATTTCACACCGCCCTAACCCCAGGCAAACACCAACACCGCAAGCCGCAACTCTTAGGCAGCAACTAAAGGCCGCGCAGGAAAGTGCTCTTGCGCGTGATGGTGATCCCCCGCGCCAGACATCTCTAGACATTGTCGGCGCGACTTGGACGCGCATCTCCCTGCATCAGTTGCAAGCAGCCCAGCCGGCCAGACATGCAGACAAGCGGGCAAACGCCCTAGCTCAACTCGTCCCGGCACCGTCATTCATGACCGATAGACGCGACCGTACCGACATGCAAAACATTACAACACCGCCATGGCGATATATCCGTAACACCTCCTTGCTCTTGTCACAAACCATCACACAGTCCGCCCAACTCACAGCACTCACTCAACACCAGTCTTATTACCCGGCACAGCACATTCACATTCCAAATCTCCCACTCTACATCTGGCGCACCTCCTTGCCCTTCATCTCCGGCCTCTCCGTCTCCCACTCGTCCCTCAGCACCGCGTATATCGTGTCCGCGACCAGCAGCGTCAAGCCCAGACTCCACACTAGCGTGATGGCGTAGAAAAAGTTGGCATTGCCCGACCCGGCGTAGATCCAGAGGTAGTAGAACGCGGGGCCCAGGAAGCTGGCGTACAGCAGTGTCGAGGCCGTAAGGAAGATGTAGCGTGTGACTGTGTAGTGGTCAGATTAATAGAACCGCTGAGTTGCCATTGGCTATGCTGTGAATGTGAGGGTACACTTACGCGGGAAGACGTGGCGGTAAAGCGGGATCAAGCTCAGGTAGAGCCCGCTTTCCGCAATGCTGGGGTACGGCATGAAGACGGCGAAGATGCCCAGCAGCGTGACGGCAATGAACAGCGGCTGTCTCCGTATCCGGAAACACAAGCCTCCAACGTACGCCACCATGTGCAGCCAGAACACGCCGAGGAAGAACTCGCGGAAGGAATCAAACATCTCAATGAAAAAGTACCACCACAGCCCTACATTCGGCGTAAGATCCGGGAGTAGCAGATGCACGCCATAGGTCGAGGGTATGAACTCCCAGCTCCCGGTCAAAAGACGTGACAGGTACAGCAGCGTGCCGATCGTGATGAAGACGTCTGCGCTATGGAAGAGGGCGTATGCGACGGGGTTTGGCCGTTCCCAAGGCTTAGCTCGCCGCATCTCGGCATCGTAGCAGAGAATCAGCAGCGGCGGGAAGAGCAGCAGCGGGTAGAGCGAGAGGTATGATGCGAGACAGATGGATAGAACGAATGTCACGGCGCGGCCGCGGGCGGCGCTGGAGAAGGCCAGAAGGATGAACAGCGAGGTGATGACCGACGTTGGGCGCGCGAGCATGCTTATTACCGTGAACGGGTTAAAAAGGTACCTGCGGGCGCGCGTGAGCACAGTTTCAGTCGTGATGTGCAATGACCTGCTACGAACCCAGCTGCAATGGCCAGACTGCTCCATCGCATATCCTTCCTCGGAGATGTGTATAGGCGGGCAGAGACGCTCTCTCCCGTCTCCGCAATCTGAATCAAGGCATTGGCGCTGAGAAGGTCGACCAGCACGTAAACGAGGTTCGTCGCAAGCGGGTGCACGGAGATATCGGGGAGCAGCGAGAAAATTGGCAGCAGCAGCGGCGCCTGGAGAGTCAGCTGGAAGCTCGAGCGACAGCGACGGAACGGGCGAACCTGGTGGAAGACGCCGCCATCATAGGGAGACACATTGTGGGTGTAGAGAAAGAGACCTTCCTGGACTAGAGACGCAAAGGCATGTCAAATTGGCGCGCTGCAGCATGGGTGGGAAGCTCGAGGACATACGCCGCTTGAAGCTGGTTACGGGCGTCGAGATCTCAACGCGCCCGGTGAGAAGGTCTGGCAATGAAGGAAAGACGGTGAAGAGAAGGATGCGCAATGCTGCGGCTGAGCCGAACAGCAGCGCCTTTTGCTTGTCTACGGGCATGATGGGCAGCTAGCTGAGCATGGCTTCGCGCGCTCCAAAGTCCCGCGGTTGCTCGGCCGCGACTTCCCCGTGGTGTTTTCGCCGACGCGCCGAGCGTGCGCAGGGATCCGCTTCACCGCCCTCGGCAGAAACAGCCAACACCTTCCTGCCTCTCGTGATCTCTTACAACCTCTCACGTGCCTCTTCACGTCCAACAGATAATCCATCATGTCGCTCGCATTTCTCGGCTCGGAGCAGCACGACAACCTGGACCTACACTATTTGATGAATATCCTGCCGAGATAATCTGGAACATCTGAGATATTGTGTTTCGTCCCTATAGATCACTTCTTGTGCAGACGCAGATCTTGCGTTTGTAAATTGCAACCATGACGCCGCATGTAAGTAAATGAGAACACCTCCTATGAGCCACTTCTCACGAAAAGCCAGGGCTTGCATTCGGAGTAAGTTTTATCGAATGTGAGGATATATGGACTGTAACAACATCTCCCTCCGCCCGCACTAACGTCCGTTACCGCGAACCGAGATCCACCGTATAGCGAAACAGAGGACGTTACAAGCAGTCCCTACAGAGTACTCCTTGTCTAGCTCATATCCCGAGTCCTGGGTATGGATGTAAAGGTCTTAGAGCACACACAGGCTCTATACATCGTAGCTGGGTCTCTTCTTCTCCTCTGTACAAGTATCACCATCTCGCTTCCCGGTGAATCTCGTTTCACGGTGACGGACTTTACAGTTTCCTTCGGATATTTCAATGTCATCGCCCCTTCTTCGGATAGAAAGAAAAGAATAAAAAGGCATCCCATATGGTGAAACAGCACACACGGCCGCGCCTGCTTCCGCAAAATCACATGCTTTTTTCTCCAGCGGCTGCGCCTGCGGCCGGCAATTGCAGCCCAATTTCGCGGACTTTGGTATCGTATTGTGGTTGAGCCGTACAAGGAGACTGGCCGTACCAAGGAACCAGCCAGGCATATGTATAACATGTAAACAACTCATATAAATAAGATCCAGCAAAAAATACCGAGAATTCCGACTATTCCAACAATCTGAAGAGAGGGTGTAACAAACGTCGACCCTCCAAGATCTCCAACATGTCCTCCAGCGAAGAGGACCCCACCAACGAGACACCCAGACTACCAACATCTCAAGTCGTCAAGTTCCTCATTCTATCCGACACGCACTCGACCAGCGCGTTCCATCGTCCCACCCCTCGCGTCGACGTGGTCCTGCACTGCGGCGACCTCACCAAAAATGGCACGCATGACGAGCTTTTAAAAGCCCTTATCCTGCTGGGCTCCATATCGGCAGAGCTAAAGCTCGTCATCGCTGGAAACCACGACATCGCGCTGGACACTGGCCACTACACGTTGGAGGGCGGGAGCGAATCCGAAAGCGCAAAGGCCACGAAACTGATGTACGGCACGTTTGCGCAAAGCTGCGGCGTCAAGTTTCTGACTGAGGGGACGTACGAGTACCGTCTGCGCAGCGGGGCCCTGCTGCGCGTGCACGCGTCGCCGTACACGCCCCACCACCGCCACTCCGCGTTCCAGTACCCACGTGACCAGGACCGGTTTAACCCGCCAAATGCCACGCCCCAGTGGGCATATAACGTCGGGACCCAGGAGTCAATCGTTCCGGAAGGCGTCGACGTGCTCATGACGCACGGCCCGCCGCAGTACATACTCGACGCCACGGAGAACGGCCAACCCGCCGGCTGCGAGCATCTGCGCCGCGCCGTCGAGCGTGTCAGGCCGCGCCTGCACTGCTTCGGGCACCTGCGTCGCGAGTACGGCGCCTGCCGCGTGCGCTACACTGACGGCGTGGGGCAGGTACTGCCGAAGGAGCCGGTGAAAAAACATCAGCCGTTGAAGCGTGGCTTTGCTGCTTTGAGCGCGGCCAGCGCGGACGAGTTCAAGAGGGACAAGGGGCAAGGCCTTATGGTGAACGCTGCTATTGTGGACAAGAATGGAGAGCCAACGAACGCGCCTTGGTTGGTGGAGTTGGAGCTGGGCGCCAACGGGTGGGTTTGAATGGATAACGGGGCAAGAGAAATGTCGAACATCAAGGTGGAGGAGCTCGCTATGTACGTTGATTTGGTCGTGCGGATTTGGGCGGAGGTTCCTGCTGGGATGGGTGGAGGGGAGAGAGGTCGCAGGGGAATGAAGGTGCTATTCTTTTCCAGGTTTAGAGGAGAGGAAGCACCGGACTCTGCAACTCGCGCGGGTAATGAAGACACTGCTGCACTCTGCAAATAAGGTGATCAAGGCGAAGTCGTTGACATGTAGTCATAGTTCCGGGTAGCTGTGTAGAGTCTACTTCGCTAGTATAGTGTTGCCTGAGCCGGACTGAACCAACGCCTGTTTCTGTTCATCATGTCGTTCGACGGTGTTCGAAGTGAAATCTTCTCTATTCTGACTTAATTCTACGCTCCTGTGTCTCCTTCCACTCATTCATCACCGCCTTTCTCACTTTGTACACCCGTAGAGCCTACATAAAGTATGTACGTCCCAATCAGTAAAATTAGCATAAAAAGAAAATACCTAGACTTATCTAGAGCCACTTAAGTAGATACTAGACTTTAGCATTTCTTTCATTAATTCAGGGCGTTGGTGGTGGAATAAAAGGCCTTTGGATACGAGGGGAAGGTTAATATAATAAGAGGATCAGAATGAGACGACGAGGGCTATAAGATCATAAGGACTCGGCCTTGTTGTGGTATTCAATTAAGCGTTTAGAATAAGTGGGAGAGAGTTTATGGAGAGTTATTTCAGTGAAGTGTCTTTGTCCTTTCAAGGGTCTTGCATAGCAATGTTGGTTGTCACACGGTTCCGATTTAGAGACAATTCATAGTTGCCATCAGAACTATGTATCCCTCGACTCCGTGAACAGTAGTAGTGTTCCTCCTTTCTGTAAGTAATATTGCTCTTCCAAATCAAATTGCTACGTTCACTTCACTATTAAAAGGCGAACAAGAAAACGATAATAAGATTAAGAACTACAGTAGGGCGAGCTCAAACCGCTACTGAAATAGTGACAACTACTGAGAGAAGATCTCGGCCATCTCCGCCTTACGACTTCTTCACCGGGCAAATATTGTTATTGCCAAGAGGGTCGAAATCGAAGTTTCCACAAAGCTGACCATCTCCGCCACCTTGACCAATGCACTAATTATACGGATTTGTTAATACTAATACCATTCAACTTGTTTCGAGATATTGCTTACGCTTGTGCCTGCTCTGCAGCCGCGATTTATCCCAGCGATTTTGCAGGAGTTACCGTTGCATTCCTAAATGGATATTAAGGATACGAGATAATCACAAGGCGAGAAATCAGGCTTACGCCACAGACGGCCCATCCGTTTGGACAGGCCAAGGAATCACGCTTCTCTTCAACGTTGTCTGCGGGAGCGCTCAGCGCAAGACCGAGGAAAAATGAGAGGAGAATAATCCTAGGCTGCATTATGGCGATGTATGATGTTGATAGATGCTATAGATAATGTATTTGATGCTGAGGAAGGAGAGCGGATAGGAGGGTATTTATGTGCTTCTAGACAAGAGTGCATCTGACATCTGCGGGAGCGAAGACTGGGTCATATCAGCTGGAGTGATGGCTACTGCTTACCGTGAAAAATCTGTACAGGTCTAGGCATTCGAGATAGCTGCCTATACTTTCTTGCAACCGTGGGTGCAGGTTTGTGTGCCGAGTAGATGTAAGAGGAGACATGTAAGCTTAGTAAGATGATTGTAGCAAGGAGACGACAGGGTTCTGATAGATAAAGCGTCTGCTATGCGTCCTCTTTATAAAAGCGTAAGAAAGATAGTTCGGCAGTGTAGCTGAGAAGGATTGTAACGCCCAGATAGATAGAACGACTGCATTTTACCGACAAACTCAGATGGCAGAGGTGCGTACAATATGCCAGCACTTTGGAGTATTCAGAAGATGAAGTTGAGACCCCGATTTGGATCATGTTAGTGCCTCGTCTAATCTATAGACAAAAGCCACCGCGCCACTTATATCATGGCTAACACCTCCCAGTCCCACAAATCACGTGATTATACACTAACCCGCTCCACCTCCTTCAACACCATGCCACCAATCCGTACTTCATGCAATATTTTTAAATTTCAACGAAATCTCTTTGCTCTACAAGCCCTTACAGCATGTTTCTGGCGCTATCGGGCTTATTGCATGCTTGGGTCAGCTGCCTTAGTAGTGACCTACGAACCAAGGGAGGACTACGAAGTATTAGCGCAGACGCTTGCTACTCATTGCACTAATTACTTAGCAAAGAATTATGATATCATCGCCAGAATTTCAACATGTCGGAGAAGCTAATTTAGATAGAAGAGATATGAATAGGGAAAAAGAAAGTCTACTACCAGAAATTTAGAGCTTAATGGTGTGTTTAACTATTAATCTAACTTGGTAATTAGTATACTTGTCTCTTGTATCCGGCATTTGGGCGAGCAAAGAAGCGATTTGTAATAAACTGTTGCTTCAGTGAAGTGAGATGTACCTTTCGAGGACCTAATGCTGTATGTTTCTTCGCCTTATGGCTTTAACATTAGGATTAATAGGGGATTTCCATAGAGCAGACTAGGTTATCACGCTTGATTCATGCTTCAGAATAGATTATAGAGAGACAATTTGATTAGGAAATTTCTAGCAGGGGCGAGCTCAAACCGCCTACTGAAAGAGTGACTAGCTACTCTAAGTCTACTTCCTCGAATCCTTTTCCAACTTACGCCTTAACGGGACACTCAAACGCGTTGTCAAAGTCGATTGTGTCAGATCCGCAGATAGCACCGTCACCGCCGCCCTCTCCAGTGCACTAAGAATAGGAATTTCATCAGTACCATAACTCTCGAAGTTTTAGGTTTTAATATTCCTTACCTTCGTGCCTTGCTTGCAGGGGTGGTTGGTTGCAGCGACCTTGCAGGAAGTACCGTTGCATTCCTGTGCGGGTAAACCATGTCAGTGTGGACAAAAAAGGTAGTATAGTGAGGAAGTATACGCACGCCGCAGTACGCCCAACCGTTGGGGCAAGCTTGTGCAGCACGTTCCTCCTTGCCAGCATTCTCAGCGGGGGCGCTGAGCGCAAGGCTGACGAAAAATGCGAGGGCGATGGTCTTGAACTGCATTGTGATGGCGTTGGGGGATTTGAACTTTGTAGATTGTGCGAGGTTGATCGAAGAGTGAAGATGGTGCTGATGATGATCAGAAATGAGAGGGAAGAGGAGGTATATATGCTCTCTTGCGCAGGGATGATTGCTTGATAATTGCATCTGACATCTCACTTTCGTAGGAACGAAAGCTGGTGAATAGTTGAGGCGGAGTCTTTTGCTTACCTGCATCAGGAGAACATGGGGTTGAAGCGGCATACATCATATCAGCCAACAAACGGGTATACCGTGAGAGCATAGAGGAAAGCTCAGCACGTCGTTGCACTGAATTGTACGGAAATCATATCTACTGTCTTCATAGCGGCTTTAGTGAGATAGAAGGTTTTAAGCGACCCCAGAACTTCTTCTAATTGCGTGTTTAGGATAACAAAGAGACGCGACTTTTCACTGTCTACCTAGCAACCTAGTCCTACTAATTTGTAACAGCTCGTGGTTAGTGGTTGTCCAAAACCCAATCGAAGCCTTGTAGATTGTTGTCACACTTATCATCGAGTTCAGTCATAATACTGTCGATCAATATCCCAATTTGGCGGTAGTTGCAACTGAAGAGTGACGGATTCAAAGATCTTCCTTTCTCGTGACGCGGTATTCAGGATACGTACAGAGGATGATGCAGAAGACTATATTGATTTTTTCTAGTTTCGCGACTCTACCACCCATTTCAGGTATCATCTCACTTTGCTCTAGCCTGTTTTGTACCTCTAGTCGACAGCTGAGCTGGAACAAGGGAAAGGAATTTAGCTTTGATGCGCTTCTATCCTCATTTTGGCAAAGTTTGGGCTGTGTCGAGCGTGTAGGGCTGAATCGAGGGCGTGCCGTAAGGCTGTCCAGTGGAGATCTGCGGGGTTTTGGGGTTGCGGGGTGCTGACCGGGGTGCTGACCGGGGAGGTCTGAACACCGAAGGTTGGGTATCGCTGATCTAAGCCCTACTACCCCAACAAGTAGGTATCGACATTCTCACCTCACCACACATGGCTATAATGAACGACGGTAAGTGAGTTTTTGCCGCAAATAAAGTTTTTTCAGACTATATCGTACTGCATGTGTGTGCAGCAAACTAACTGGGATGTGGACAGTCACGAACACACCAGTTAAAACCTGGAGATGAACAATTGTTTTCCTCCTTTAAGCTTGAGCTGAAGATATTCCTGCTCCTTGGCGATTATGCTGCTGAAAGATGGCTAGCTTTCTGGCCCGTATTAGCAAAGTCACCAAGCATTGCGACGCGTCATTAGATTAGGTGTGATTACATACGATACTCTCCGAACCACAAATAGCCCTCACCTGGCTACATTGTCCCCCAACAAGGATAAATCCCATCGCAATTTTCATTCCTCACAAATAGGCATTGGGCCTTCCTGAGTTTTCAGCTCTTCGTGGCACCTCACGAGCTACTGACTGAATCATTGAAAAAAAGTCTTCATTCGGTGAGAACTACATATTCGTATCCCGTTTATTGTTTCCCGCCTCGGCGCATGGACTGAGAGCACTGGAACCCCGATGATTCGCTTCTCGAGCCATATCGTTTCTCACACTGACGTCGTCTGGAGGCATTGACAACGTCGTCTCAGGTCTGCTTCCCTCAAAACCCTGACAGTTCCAACCGTTAGACATCCAGCTCCGCACACTGACATCATCGAGAAGCATCGCCAACGTTGATTCGGGCCCGCTCCCCCTAGAATCTTGGCTTTCTGACGTCCGTGATTTTTTGGGCTCTTTGGAAACAGACAACTCGGAATCCGTTGCCGCTACAGAGACAGCCGCCTCTTTTGCTTCCTCCTCCTGTCTGCCCGGGGGTTTCAGCTTTGGGTGTTTGGGGTCCTTTAGGTCCAGCACCGCAAGGGGTTCGCCGCATTTTGGTACGGGAATAGCATCAGTAGTGTAAGACCAGGTACCAAATCCGAGCTCCTCGTGGGCGAGACGTTGAAGTTGTAGCGTGTCGTTTGTGCACCATTCTAGGAGCGCATATCCTTTCAGGTGGTAGCGCTTGTGTAGCATGTTGAAGACAGGCCCTAGGATGTATGAGATAAGGATAATAAGGCATCCCAGCACAAGAATGAAATAGATGCCGAAAAGACTGAAAGAGTAATGTACGGAGCTAACGATTATCTAATCGATGTTGGCATTTGATATTATACCAGAGTAAGTAAGGGTATAACGGACCTGGTTTTTGCATATCGATCTTTCCGTCGTGGAGTTTGGTTGTACAACATATTGCTGGAGATTGACGTCCGAAGGCCCAGTTACAATACTGACGGCGTACGCTTGCATGTATGCTAGCATCGTGGCGAACCAGTTTTGTACGTCAAGTTGCCACTGGTTGTCCGGAAGAGGGCCTTGTGTGCCGCCACTAAGGGAGTTTGTAGATTTCAAGGACTGAGACCCCAAGTAGGACAGCAGCGCATCAAGTTGAGGCTGGAAATCCCAAAACCAATTGAGTCGTTCCTTCAAAGCTTCATTTTTGAAAAAACCCTGAGCACTATAAAATGCATCCGCCTGTCCACTAAGTGGAGTGCAGCGGTTGTTTTCTGGGAGGTTAGAATTGCACCACTGTACTTGGCTTGCACATGCCAAGGGGGATGCCGGCTCGTCTTGGCCATATATGTTGCTTAAAGTCCCATTACCAGACCCGTACATTGAAATCCCTCTAGCCACTATATGAGTAGCACTGTACCAGTCATCGACTGTTTTTGTACTAAAGGTGACTTTTCCAGCCGATAGAAAAATCAGGGTAACATCGGCATCTGAGCGTTGTAAATCAGGGATAGGATGGAAATTGGATTCGTATGAAGAAAAAGAGCCATTTTGGTTGTGTGCCGAGTATGTGCTTTGAGATGTTTTAGGTTAGTACTTAGTACAGTGCGAATTTGTGATGTTGGGAGGATGAAGCCTACCTAATATCATAATCAGGGCTGATGTTGTTGACTACGAAGTCGACATTCGCCGATTCCCAGATGGGATCAATTTTGTACTCGTATGTGTAATTAGCTCGGGAGGTTTTCCCGTAGTAATATCTTGTGTAAGTGCTCCCGCTCGACGAGTTCCGTGCAGCTTTATATCCGCGTGTTACCAAGGGGGAGCAGTGAAGAACATTTCGATATTGGAACCTCTCTTGTGGGGGAGAGTTAATACCGAGATCTTTTTGACTGTCTATATATCCGGTATCCAAAACCAAGTTTTTGTTTTTGTTGCGACAAATACCATCGTCGAAGGGGCAGCCAGCATTTTTTGTAATGTTTATCGGTAAGCTCTTTTTGATAAATGTGCCGCACTGGAGTTGTCCCGATGCATCTGGGTCGTAACATTGCTGGGCGTAGTTGGCTGCGTTCTTCATAACTTTCTTGTAGTGAGGCAAGGTAATAGTTTTGAGAACGGTCGTATTGTCGTAGCCGTCAGGATAAACAAGAGAGCCGCAGCGGGGGCTGGAAATCAAGACTTCGTTTCCTGTGGCCACTTGAGATGAAAAGCAACTGGCCATAGCAAAGGCCATAGCCACGATAGCCGTTAACGTGATGGTAGGGATGATCCGACGATATGGTTTGCTAGACCTCCAGGCCCATAAGAGCTGGAATAGTGTGATGAGGCCTGATGTCGCGTTTGACGAATTTCGAAGAATCGCTTGATGTTGATGATAAAGACCATCTTGAACTTCCTCGGATGATAGTATTCCATGGAGGGCAAAACAGGAAACTCTCCAGGTGCGGGTTCCAACAAAAGTGACAAACAATGCCAGGAGTGCAATGACGGGGTTGGCATCTGCACGCTCTAGAGTGAGCATATAGCCTAACACTGCTCCTTTGCTCCAGTTTGTCCAGGCTCCAGTGTATACATTGTCGAGAATCTCTGATTTAAAGTCGGTAGGAAGGTCTAGTAACATTTTGCTTCAATATTCAGAGCCGAAGGATGAATATGAGAATAATTTCGTAGAACATAAGTGGAGGAGAAGTAGAGTTTAAAGAGTGGCCGATCGTGTCAAGTGATCCAGCGTCTCCCTTAAGTAGTGTGTAGGTGTTATGGCGTCTTTCGAGCTTTGCCGTAGTTTCCCGCCCCCACCTGCAAGTTGACCGAAATACATAAAACTTATTGAGTCACAGCCTCACTGATGCGCCATGCATGGCGCATATTGCGAGGCTTTCCAAGTCCATACCAGCTTGAGGGTAGAATAGAGCTGACAGACATTCGCATAGATGACACCATGGTGCTATTATGGCGAAAGTGGGGAGATCCTAGACAGCAGTATGGCAGCTTTCCAGAAGTATGTAAAGGACGTAGACGCATCGGCGTAGAACGGAGCCGCATTGCAGTGAGAATGTTGTTACCACAAAAAGCCCAGACTTCTGGACTTGTGAGGGCAACGAATTACGACTCAGAAGCCCAGAAACAGGCTAAATTCCACTCCGATGCACCTCCGCTCTGTAGAGTGCCCTGTAGAGGGTAGTAGAAAATAGAAGGGGTACTAACTTGAGTAGTGAGTGATAAGCGCTTAGATGCATACGGTATATTTCTATTTCTGTTGACAAGCATGCTGCACCTACAGGAACACAGGACTTTATCGGAGAGCTCTCTAATTGGTAAACGTCGACTGAAATTAGAAACGAGTGTGGGGCCAAAAAATACGGCGGTTCAGTCGGTTCAGGTCTTCCGCCTTCCCTTTTAGGGATATGTGGATACAGGAAATGCTTCATTAGCAACATACATTCGGTTTACGGCGTGTCACCGTCTTTTCGGACTTTTTTCAGGCCTATGATGCCTAAATATATGGCGCCGTGGGGCTGAAGCGGCGCTGATAAAGGCCTCAGTAGCACCCTTGTAGGAGGTCTATCCCAAAGAGGAAGGTGAAAGTTCGTACTGGCCGGGCCTCCGTATGATTATGCATTCTCATTGGTGACTTCATCAGGAATTGGGCGGTGCACCTAGCAACTGTCAGCTCCCGTTATTTTTAAAACCAGCAAACAACGCAGCGCTGACCGAGGCCTTGCTCTTTAAAACAAGGAATCGACGCAGTACTGACCGGGGAGCTCTCTTTGCGAAACCGGGAGCCTACGCAGCACCATAACCAGAACATCCCTGCTCTTCTCCATCAGCCCCCACACCATCCACCACCACTACCCCCTCCTCCCCCAGCAACCACGCCCCCTCCCCCTCCTCCACCGCAGCTCTATGAAACCTACTCCTCTCTCTCAGCCCCTCCCCCCACAGCCAAAAAACCCACGGCAACGGCGCCAACACCAGCGCCGCAGCAGCCAGCATGACAGACGCGGACGCAGTACCCAAATCGTTATACAAGTCGCTCGCAAAAAGGGGAAAGAGGGCGCCAGCAACATTGCGCAGAAACGCGGCTGCCGCGATCGCGCTGGCGGCGTAGCGGCCGTAGCAGTCAACGAGGTATGCAGTGCAAGCGGCGACGAGCGGGACGAACGCGAGGCCGAAGGGCAGGCCGGCCGCGATGGGGAGGGCCCAGTGCGCGGGTGGGCGGGCGGTGCATGCGAAGAGGAGGAGGGAGGCGGGCAGGAGGTAGACGAGAGGGACGAGGGGCGGGAGACGCGCTTCGGGCGTGGAGCCGTGCTTGCGTGTGTAGGTGGTGTGGAGGCGATTGAGGAGGCTGAGGGTGGCGGATTAGCGTCAAGCGGATCTGGGGTGGAGGTGTATACTCACGGAGAGCAGGCTGTCGCAATAGCCATGCCGAAGCCGATGCCCAGAAAGGCAAGGCCTGCGAGACCGGGGCTCCAGCCTCGGGTTTCCTTGAAGATGATGGGGTAGGCTGTGAAGTTAAGGTAGAGGATGGCGTTGACGATGGCCATGTAAAGACATAGGAGGAATAGAATCGGCTCTGTGGCTAGCATGAGGATTGGCCTTGCCAGAACGCCAGCATCGAAACTGCTGTTTGACTTTGTTGCCTTACTGTTTAGATATGGGGTGTATGTCTCCGGAAGGAAGAAGAGCATGACAACATACGAGATCCCCGAGTGAATAGTGACGATCCAATATCCCCAGCGCCAGGAGCAGTACTGAGAGATGAAGCCGCCGACTATAGGAGCCATGACAGGGCCGAGGAAACAAGCAGCTGTATAGAGAGCCAATGGCACGGAGCGATGTGACTGAGGCCACATGTCACTGACTGAGCCACCCGAAGTCGACACTACAACAGCTAGTCAGCGCAAATTAAGCATCCACAAGAGCAGGTCTCTGACCAGAGGACGAGCCAAAAACCCCGCTCAGGAATCTAAAAACCAGCAAAGACGTAATATCAGGCGCCAGAGCGCACCCTGCGTTGAAGACGACAAACAGCAGCAACGTGCTGCGATAAACGGCGTTGCGACCCCAAACCTCAGACAGCGGCGCCAGAAGAAGACCGCCGAAAGCAAAGCCCAGCAGATATGTCGTCAAGCCCAGCGTAGCCACAGTGCGGGAGCAGCCGAAAGTACGTGCAACGTCAGCAATGATTGGCGCATGAATGCTAGCGCAAAAGCCGATAGAAGCGGTCATGAACACGACAATGATGGTGGCCGGCCACCGTTTCGAAGCCGGCCATTTCGTTGGGTCGTGAAGAGAAGCAGGCATGTGGATAAGCAAAACGACGATTTTGGCAATGATCATTTTTCTGGGTTGGTTTTTATTGTCATATATACCCCGCCTGTAAGCTGTAAGCCAAAAAGCAATTAATCAGCGAATTTGCTGTTCAAGTGTCATGTGCGACAGTAACGCCACAGTACGAACCAAAAGATGATAGGTCCTTTAGGGCAAAGGCCAGGAATCGGGGCACGATTGATCTTGTCATGTCGGCGCATGTGCGCAGTGCTATAGATATACTTGGACCTACAGTAGATGCCAAACGTCGACCGGACAACAATCAAACCGGGTTATGATGAAAAATGGCCGAGACTATACAAGAAGTATGTCAACTCCATTGGGAAGGGTTTGTTCCGGCTAAATCCATAGCTGTGGGTGAGTTGCAGGTGTGTTGTATACAAACCGGTCGGGACTTATTCGACCGCACCTTAAATCTTCGTCGAATTTCGCAGCTACCAACGCCGTTCTATTGGTGGCTGTCCCTTTACGAGGCTTCCTTATGGCTCATCAATTGGCCAAGGCCTCACTACACATGCAGTGATTTACGAAGAGAACCCCATAGAAATCGGGCCTCGAAGAACTGAAGGGAGCAATGATTACTGCAACCTCGCATTTTCTGACGCCACAACTCTACTCTTCCTCAACCTTTCTCTTTTTGGTTTGCCGTTTCTTTCGCTTCACTCCCCACCCCGCCCTCGCTTCTATAATTTCCAAAAAGCCATCGTTGTGGAGACCTCCCAGGAGATCATCCGCTGCGGAAACCGATTTATTCTGATCACCATTACCCCCATGTGCGCGCTTCAGATGCTCGTTTAGACGCCAGCGTGTTGCGTACGCGTTGTGCGAGCGAGGACAGCGCTTGTACGGACAAGTCAGCGAGCTTTTGTTGTCCCAAGCAAGGTGATCCGTTTCCTCTTCCTCGTCTGTCTCATCATCCCCAAACACAGGGAGCGCAGGTACGGCTTCAGGTCGATATTCTACCGTCTCTGTTGCCTTGGTACCCCGCTCTTCGAGCGTGGCGAACGCCATGCCTTCACCAAAGAGGTTCGCACATCTTTGCCCCGCGCGTTGTACCACCTCCGGCTTGAAGCCCGATAGGACAGCCAAGCCCAGCACCTCGCTCCAGTCGCGTAGGTTTAGCGTCTTCAAATGCACGGTGTTTGAGCGATCAGAGCGCGCACTGGTGCCAGAAGCCGTACTGCCCGTAGAAGAGCGACGGCGCCGTTTGCTGGGGCTGTTAGGTGCAGAGAGAGGGCTCTGATGTTTGCTGTTTTCGCCCTTATCGGCGTCATCGGTTTCGAACGGCGTCGTGCTGCGCTCGTGTTGCTCACGCTCCTGCTTTTCACGCTCATAGCGCTTGATCATCATGTAATACGATTCTCCTTCTAGGCGCTCTGTGTTGTATTTGCGTGGGCGACCTTTTTTCCGTTTTGCAGGGCCGGCAGAAGTTTCAGACTCCGCGTCGGTGGTTACATGCTGCTCGCCAGAAACCGTGTTGACAAACTTTGGCGGCCTACCTCGTTTCCGCTTCAATTGAGGGCTGTTTCCTGCCTCGATGTCGCTCCCAGCTTCGATAGCAATGTCATTGGTGGCGAGTTCCGCCTCATCTCCTGAAACGTGATGAATGTTTTCCCAGTGGTTTCGTCGAGAGTGATGTAAATTGATCAACAGGGTCTCTAGCTTGCTGAGCACAGAGCGCACCGATGGCTGGAGGATTTTGTGCGCCTTCTCATCGTCGGCCAAAATTACCGGTCTATGAAGATTGTGATTATCAGCATCTCGCTTCGCCGTGCTCGTGGCATCTTGGGGTTCGGCTTCAGAATCTTCATGCGATGAAGCAGCCCTGGATTTCTTTCGTGACACCTTGCCATTGGCGCTAGATTTGCGGGCGCGCGCATCTGTATCAAGCCGTGCACCTCGAGCCTCAGGGTGCTGTCTCTCATCCTCGCCTGCCGATTCGCTCTCTGACGGCCGTTGGTCCCACCGTTCCTTTGCTTTTTTCTGAACCACACCAACGAAAATATCCTCTAGATCCTGGCTGGGCTTTTGTTTCGAATAGGCTTGCTCTCGGACGGTAGAATTATGCTCCGAGTCGATCACTGGTGCATCAGCAAATGTCTCGTGCGCGCGCGGAACCTGGTCGGGCTCCAGCGGCCATGCGGTCCACGTTGTCGGTGGTGCCCATTCCTCGCGCTGCGCCTCGTCGATCCAGCGTGTCTTTGTTTCCCATTGTTTCGCTGCTTCTGCCGCCCCGTGCGACCGGAGGCGGCGATTCAGCGCGTGCGCGTTGTAGAGATGGCAGCTCAGGTCGGCGGCGCGGAGTTGTCCAAGAGAAAACTCCAGGTCGCGCTCCTTGAGCGTGTACCTGCGCCATGTTCCGGGCAGTCCGTCGAAAGCGTTCGGCCGATGCTCTTCTTCCGAGCCGTAATCTGAGGCGGAGGGCTCGTGTTCGTCGTCGGCGATGTCATGCTCGATAGATTGGCGGGGAGGTGGCTGTGCTTCGAAGGGTTGAGGAGGAGGGCTGGATGGCTGCGGAGAGCTGCTTTGGTTGTTGTTGTTGTCGTCGTTGTCGTCTCCCCTCTCAGGCAGGGCACCGCCAAAGAGGGACATGATTAGGTATGTGCGGGAGGATGTCGGCGCGGCCAGAGATTTTGGTGGAGTCAGGCAGTAACTACTAGCAACTAGGGGCAGCCGAGGTATGACGATCAAGCGTGGAACCAGCTCTACGGTTCGGTAGCGCCTCCGAGCGCGGGAAATCACCTGGCGCCAGCAACCCATGTACGTACACCTTTCCCCTTCTCCAGCTCGCCGTCGATCTCGGCCCACTCTGCGGATGACGACCTAGACATGTTCGCCCCCCTGCACATTCCTTCCGCGACCCAGCGGTAGCAACCACATCACCATGGCCTCGGCCATGTCGACTACGCCTTCCAGCGCCCCGCGCCGTTCCTCGTCGTCACAGCCCTCGGCCACCTCGTCCGCCACCATCCATTCGGGCTATTCCAGCATACCCCACCTCGACCATGGCGACCCCGGCTCCAGCAAGAGGCGCCGCGTCTCTGTGCAAACCGACGGCACCCTCTCTGCCCACGGCGCCGCGCGATCGTCAGGGCTCCTGGGCGCCGACCTGGCCGCCGAGCGCGACAACGACGGAAGGAAACACAGGCTGAGGAGATCCGGCGGCTTTTTGTTGGGCTCGGCTTTGCCCAGGGATGCGGGGCGGCGACATTCGACCCAAAGCGACGACAAAGGCCGCCTTTCCATCTTCAGCCGGCGCCGCAAGAGTAAGAGCCCTGGCGTTCACGATACTTCGCGCAGGCCTCACAGCGGAGCTTCGTCAGAAAGGAGCTATCCTTCGACGAGTGGCGACGGCGATGCGCCACTTGCAGGAAACACTTGGGCATCCCCGCCCCGCAGCCAAAGGAGCATGGAGCGCTCTCCGAGACAACCTCAAGGATTCGCAGGGCTGGGGATAGATGTGGGCTCTTCCGAAGCTGGCGACGGACATTTGGAGCCCGAGGAGCCTCAGGTCATGCCAGGCATCGATCCTACGCAGATTGTTCACATGGCTCTGAACCTTAGCGAGAGCAGGAGACGGCATCTTAATTACGGTCAGCTTGTCGCACCTTCTGTGCCAGGCAGTAGAAGGGCAACTTCCGCCGGCATGCCACTCAGCGGTACTCCGATGCATGGAAGCTTCCACGAGTCTGGTTTTGGAGGAAGCTTAAAACAGCACCTGCAACAGCAACGCCAGGTCTCATTCAACTTGTCGCCAAGAGCTAGCATGCAGAGCCCCGCGTCGCGGCATGTCTCACTTTCAAGTCCTAGCGGGCGCGTGGATTCTGCCCTTGGCCCCCAACACAGCTATCAGTTCTCAGCCGCTACTTTGGCTAGAGCTGACAAAGCTCGTGCGTACATTGACTTGTCAATGGAATATCTCCGATTGTTATCATACCTTCAACCTCTCAAGCCAAACCCCGAAGCACCAGGTAACTACACATACACCACAACCAATGTTCCAGGAACACCGATCGTTGACATTAAACGCACTATTACGAATCCAGGTCTAGAATGCCCGCTTGGAAGGAGTTATAATCCTCTTCAGTTTATCCGAAATCGAAAATTGAGAGCACGGGAAAGGAGGCAACTAGATCCCGACGTCCGCGACTTTGAAGATGTTGACAGGGTCAAGGACTGGATCGATGATGTTGCGGAAGCTTCGGAAGATAGGACGTTTCGGCGGGAAGACAATGTGCTTTTGCCTCCGTTTGACGACGGCATTGAGCAACAGGATACCGAACACCAGCCAGGCCAGAATCCCAAGCAGAGTCTCCTGCTTGGCAAAACAAAACGGCCACGAATGGATTGGTTTGTTCTGCCTACCGAGTTACTTGCTGATGCTGTATGGCTTGAGCAAAACTCCCACAAGGGCTTGATAGAAGACAGGCACGGAAATAGGATCTTCCCCAGTCGGTCCCGCAGTGTGGGACAGCCTCGGGTAAGTCGAGATTTGCAGAGAAGAAGTCTGGACCACCGGAGACGACTTAGCACTGCCGGGTCTGATGCCGCGCACTCTGAAGCGCACACTGCCGACTCTAGTGAAGCTGGAAGCCATCGCGGCAGGAGGAAGCTTGGCCTATTCCATAGCCATCGTGATGACAGCACGGACCGCAGGAAGCATGGCTGGAGATCCAGAGGCCGTTCGACTAGCTCGTCTGATCTGTCATCCTCTGACGATGACATGAGCACTCGGAAGAAGAAACGTGATAGGAGGCTGACTGATCACGAGGAGAACACTGGGCCTCTGGAACGGCATATGAAAGAAATGCTCAACAATGAGGCTTTTGCTGAGGAGAACCAGCTATCCCCTATTTTGAGCTCGCCGGACAAGTGGGGGGCGGACCAAGCCCGCAGGATCCCTGGACGGCGCATCAGGAGCGGCACTGAGCAGAGCGATCGCGATGGTGATAGTGACAGAGGGCAGGCAAGGCGGAGTAGACGTGTCAGTAAGCTCTCTGAGAAGTCTCTTGCCTTGCCTAGAACGTCGATGGATGGCCTTGATTCATCGGCGCCGAACACGCCACTTTCAAACACGTTTAGCTTTGCAGCATCGTCGCCTCCAAGCCGTCATGCGTCACCGGAACGGAAAAGCAGGAGGTCGAAATTCCCGTTCTTTAGGTCTGATGACAGCCACAAGGGACACAAAGTCGACACCACGGATTTTGCGCATGACCAGGGCAGCAGCCTCAGCCTGCGGCACGTCACTAGCGAACCTTCGGAGCCTGGCCGAATCAGCCTTGACCAAACTCGGCCTGCTAACTTATTGCGCTCACGCAAGACTAATGAGAGCTTGAGCAGCCTTGCTTCCATTCAAGAAGGGAAGGAAGACTTGTCCAGCAGAGAGCGCAAGCAGAAGAAGGAGCCCAAGGAACCGGGATCCGCCGTGTCGAGGTTCTTCAAGGATGTTCGCAAGGAAGGCTCTAAGGTGGGAGAACTGATCTTCAAGAAAGACCGCCTGCCTGAGGAGGCAGATGAGAAGGCGTCGTCGGAAGAAACCGATACCTCATCAAGCTCTAGTAGCAACGAGGACATGATGAAGAGCATCATTAAAAGCAGGCCGAAGCCGATACAGCGGACGACAGCCGACAGCATGGTATCCGAGGGTTCGGACGGAGGACGCAAGCCCAAGTATCACGTGGATCTTCCGTCGTTCAAATCCACCATCGCGCAAGATCAAGAGCAAGACTCGGACACTGCCATCTCAGGGCGCGAGGAGGGCAGGCGAGGCCGTCGCTCAGCCCGCTTTGACCGGCTGGCACCGCCCCGCCTGGATCTCAGCACCGTCAGCCCGTCGTCGTCTCCTCCGCCCGAAATACCCCAGGAGCGCGACGAGACGCGCCTCGCGCCCGACGTGGACCGCCACAGCTCCGAAACACCTGGATCAGGACGATCGCGGTCGCCGTCGGCCATCCGAGCACGCATGAACAAGCTCCTCGAGGTGCCCGGCGGCGTGGGCCGCGCCGGCCTCCCCGTCAGCGCGCTCACGCGCATCTCGCCCGCAGACAAAGACTCGCCGGTGCGGGGGCGACGCAGCGGCGACACGAGCCGCACGCCCAGCCGGCCGTCACTGAGCCGGCACCGGCAGTGGAGCATCTCGGACCAAGGCATTCGGCGGCCGTCGGCGCCCAACGTGACCATCACCGTCACGCCGGCGGACATAGCACGAGTGCGCGCGCTGCTCTACTGCTCCGGGATCAAAGCGCGGGAGATATCGCGACGGGCCCACGAGACGCGCGACGCGCCGCCGGTGTTCCTGGCCAGCGCGGCCGAGATTACCGGCGCGCATCTGGTCGAGGTGCCGCGCAAGGAGGAGCACGTGCTGGCGGCGCGGATCCTGTCGTCGGAGCTGGAAAACACAAACCAAGAGCTGGTGGCGGGGGCGGAGCGGTTCCGGCACGAGGCGGTGCGGGCGCTGCATGCGCGCTGCGAGGAGGTGCGCATCCGGGTTGGCGAGCGGCTGACGCCGCGGGTGCATGCGTGCGCGGACGAGGCGGACGCCTTCACCCGCGAACTGACGAGCGGGGCGACGTTGGCGGTGAAGGCCGTCGTCGACCGCGTCGAGATGATGAGTCGCGCGCGGAGGAGGCGCATGTGGTGGCTGAGGCGCATGGGCTGGATGGTGCTGGAGTGGATGGTGCTGGCGCTCATGTGGTGGGTGTGGCTGGTGGTGGTAGTGGTGAGGCTGGTGCTGGGGGCGGGGCGCGGCGCGTGGAGGGGCGTGAAGTGGTTTTTGTGGCTGGAGTAGGTGGGGAAGTAATAGCGTGCGTGCGTGTGTGTGTGTGGTGTATACCCTTTGTTTGAACCGGACCGGACTGGATGCGCGAGCAGGTCTGGGATTAGCGCGGCGTTTTGTTTGCTTGTTTCTTGCAGGCTGGGGTGAGAGGGGGCTCTCTTTCTTTTTATTTATTTCCTTTGTTCAAGTAGGTGGCCTGGGTCTGGGTCTGGTTATGGGAAAGGAAAGGAGGGTTGGTGTTGAGCATCTGGTGCTGCGGTTTTCTCTCTTGCTCTCTGCTCACTCACTCTTGCTGGGCTTGGTTGGTGGTGTTTTTGTTTTTTCCGTACTACTTGTAAGATATCCTGGGTGTGTTGTGTGGGTGGGTGTGGACGTGTGGATGTAATGTGTAAAAATGTAGTGGATTTAGGGTTTGGGGGGGATGGGATGGAGTGGAAGGGAGTACAGGGGATTACCAAAATGAAGGGTTTCTGTGTGTGCTGTTGTTGGCGTTGGAATGTGAACGTGACTGTGGCAGCTATGTGTGTATGTATAAGAGTTTGCATGGCCCTGTGGATGAGGTGGGCGTCTGTAGGTAGGTGTAAATTCATACGTACGTACGTATGAACCACTTCCACTAGGTTGGAAGTCGGCGTCAAGCACCTTCCCGTCACCACCTCTCCTCCAAACGCCACCCATTTTCTTGTCGCCTATCAGCCAGTCCGTCAGTCGCACCACCGCACCCGGTCGGCATCACAGCAGCACCGCACCCTCCGACGCTCGGCCAACGCAGCCAGGCCGGCCCATGGCGCTCTCAAACCCGACGTTCGGATTTCGGGACGGTGGCGGTCAGGCCCACCGTCTGTCTGTCGGCAAAGACGACGCAAGCGGGCGAGCCCGGCGTCGGCGCCCCGGGCCCCGCCCAATCAGCTCGGCGGCAAAAGGCATGACGGGGCGCGGGCCGCGCCATCTCGTTTGGATACTCGTAGGTGGGGAGGGGTGAGCCGCGCATGCGCCAGCGTCCGTGGCAGCGGCGTCCATAGGTCCCGGCAGCTAGCTCTTCCGGCCGGCGGGGTGGGTGGTGTGCCCGTGGCCTGGCGGCCGGTGGTCGGTGGGCAGAGGCGAGCGAGGGTAATCAGGCGCGAGCTCATTGGCTCTCTGGGTTTTATTTTGTGCCGTTGAGTGTTGGAGCTTGATTATAAAAGAGAGGCTTTGTTTGCGAGGACGACGGCTACCTACTGTAACTACTTACTTACTTTTTCTTTTAACTTGGCTTGATCTGGCTTGATCCCACGGATTATTACTCACGGCTAGCATTCTACATACCTTGTCCGCTTGCTTCCTTGCACTTGTCGCCGGAGCTGTCTACGCCCTACCTACCTACCTAGGTACATCACAGCGCACATCCCACGCGCGCACGCACGCAGTCAGCATCCCCCGCGGCAAGCGCCACCTCCCATCCCACCTGCTCAGGCCCTCCGTCGCCTCCGTCGCCTCCGCCCCGAGAAGCCAAAAGCGAGCGCGCGCGTCGGTCTTGATCGGTCATCGAGCTCCCCGTCAGCTTTACGCCCGTCCTGCCGTCCGAGACCGAGCTGCGTTTGCGTTTTGCGCCTTCTTAAGTAGCTAGCTAGCTGCGCGCCGCATCTACTGCCTACTGCGAGGGAAAAAAAAAAAAAAAAGCAAATCGCAACCACCGTCACCCGCTTTAGCACGCGCACGAACGACTTCTTTGAGCCGGTAGCAGCTGCGCGGCTCTCTTCTATCTTCTATCTTCTTCTTTCTCTTTTCTCGTTCCCCACACACAACACAGCCGTCATGTCGCAAGAAGCGCTGCTCCCCAAGCCGCCGCACAACTACACGACGTTTGCGAAGCCGCGGAGCCGGAGCCGCGACGACGGCCTCGTGCCCCACCATCATCACTCGGAGAAGCACTCGGCGAATAGCGAGGTCATTCGCGATACTATTATCGGGTTTGCTGATGGCTTGACGGTGCCGTTTGCGCTGACTGCGGGACTGAGCTCGTGAGTGTTTTTTTTGTTGTTGTTTTTTGCGTTTGGGGTTTTTGGTTTTGTGAGGGTGTGCTACCCGGAGAGGATTCTGCACCTTTTCTTTTCTTTCTGCACAATTCGTCTTTCACCACATTTGCCCCAAAAAAACATTCCTTTTCTCAAGATTTTTCCATCGAAAAACGACCAATTTCCCCTCCTTAACTTTGTTCCAGCCCACGCACTAACACGCCCCAGCATCGGATCCACCCGCCTCGTCATCCTAGGCGGACTGGCCGAGCTCTTCAGCGGCGCCATCAGCATGGGCCTCGGCGCATACCTGGCCGCCGTCACAGAGAGCAAGACGTACGAGGTGGAAGAAGCGCGCGAGCGGCGCGAGGTGGACGAGATGCCGGCGGCCGAGGAGCGCGAGATCTACGACATCTTCGACGAGTACGGGCTGGAGCGGACGACGGTGCGGCCGGTGGTGGAGGCGCTGAAGAAGGACAAGGAGATGTGGGTCAAGTTCATGATGGATTTCGAGCTGAAGCTGGAGAAGCCGGCGCTTAATCGCGCGTGGATCTCGGCGCTGGTTATGGGGCTTTCGTATTTCCTCGGCGGCCTCGTCCCCATGCTCCCCTACTTCATCTTCAACGACATCCACACCGCCCTCTTCACCAGCATCGCTATCACCGTCGTCGTCCTCCTCGTCTTCGGCTACGTCAAGGCTCGCGCCACCGGCTGCCCGCTCTCGGCCTGCGTGTATAGCGCTGTGCAGACGCTGCTGGTGGGCGCGTTGGCGGCCGCGACCAGCTATGGAATTGTGCGGGGCGTGGATTCGCTGAAGCCGGGGAGTGATTAGGTTTGGTTTGTTAGTAGTGGGGGAGGGGTAATGGTTTTGACTCGTTGTGGAAGGGGATAGAGCGTACGAAGTTTATTGGTTGGTTGACTGGTTGCTAGAGGGAGGTGGGAAGGGTGGCTTTGTGTCATTCCGGCTTTGCGGCTTTGCGCCTTTGCGGTGCTGTGTACTATATTATGAATACCCTGCCGTGCGGTGGTGGCGGCGGTGGTGGTGGCTGAGCTGAGCTGTTGTTGTTGCTGCTGCTACTACTGTTACTGCTGCTGAAAAGTTTTGTTTTGTTGACATTTGTTTGCGTTTGATGAATTCTGGGTTGGTTTGTGGGTGTGGGTGTTAAGACTTGTGGGGGAGAGGTGTGGTGATGATGTGAGAGGAGTAGGTGGGCAGTGAGTCGTGACCGACTGAGTAGATAGGATGCTAGTGGTAGAGATTCCGGGTTGATTAAGGTTCTCGGACTGTTTCAGGTGATTGAATAAGCTGATTGCTTGCGTGAGACTTTGTGCATTTGAGAGAGACGTGAGGGTAGGTGTTCGGTGGTTGGTATTCGACCTGTCGGTTTGCGGGTAGTAGAGATGGGGCAGGGTAGCGTTGTGGTTTGATCACAGCTGCCTCCATGCTTGTGCTCAGGTCGGCTGTCACTCAGGACAGAGAAAAGTTTTTCAATGAAGCAGCGAAGATGGTGTTTGAGGTATCGATGGAGACACTCCCATTGTTCTTGTTGTGTCGACGCTAGCTGGTTTAGGTAGTCAGCTGCGTGCGCAGCTTCCTTGTTCTCGTGGCACCTTTCGTGGCTTTCACTTCTCAATCAACTCACGTTTGAATCGACCTCGATCAGGCTATGGCCCCTCGCGCATACAACTTGCGCGCAGATCGGTGCATCCCTTGAAAGTTACCGACTATCAACATCATCATCATCATCATCACTGAACGTCAAGCCGGTGGACGCAACCTAGCAAGTCGGCGAACGCACCATGCAAGCAATTCGCAGAACAATGCCCGCGCGTCACATACGAACAACGCCAGCTCGCTGCACCCTAGCACGCTGCACACGAATATCACAAGCCGACGCATTGGCAAACAGTCAATCCGCAGCAGTTATAGCTCAAGCTACTACTTCTGTTCTTCTTCAACCGTGTTCGCCTGAGCGCTAGCATCATCATCTTCTTCTTTTAATCACGACGAGCTCCTAGCTTTATGTAAAGGCTGGACGGAAAGCTATGAGGTGAGGTGATACAACGTAAGCATTTGTGCCTGTTAATAGCAAACTTCCTCAGAAAAGGATAAGAACAGAATCAAACACTTAGGCCCTCATCTTTAGCTTCATCTGGCCTTTAGTTTACGGCACAATTTGCACCATCAACACCTTCATCGTCACCGGCATCAGCGTGAACGAATAACATGCAATCAGAATTGGCGCCATTGCTACAACCACACCCTGAAGTTTCGTCCACTCGTTCTGCACATTCCTTCTAACCGACGACATCACCCTCAGGCGAGCAACCATCCTTTCACTTCGACGTCGCCTGCTCAATCTCCTGGCTCCGCAACACATCAGCCACAATGGCCTTCAGTGCTCACCTCACCGGCAGCTTTCTCGCTTCAATCAACTATCATTTGATTCAGCCTCTACCATTCCCTCTGTCTAAACGCCGTTGTAATGCAATCAGAACTGTCCTCCCATTTGATCCAAAACGCCTTTTGAAAAACTGATCTAACTCAAGGAGATTAAAACAAGACATGCCTTGCGCCGTGTGTGCACCATGTTTTCTCTTACGCCATTGTAAAGAAACGAAAGAAACTCAAACTGAGACGAATTGAAATCCAGAAAACCCGGGTAAGAAAAAGTCGAACAGGAAATAAAATAGAACAGCAAGCATCATGATCTCCTCGTGAACCTCAGCCTCTTGAAGCTTTCAGCGAGCGCCTTTCTCCGGCTCCTCCTCTCCGGCAACTCAACATCCTGGCTCGTTGGCCGTTCCATGACAGCCTCCTCGCTTTCTGCATCCGATTCCTCGTCTTCTGGACGCGTTTGGTCGCCTGTTTCCGCTTCCTCAAGCTCTTCTTGCATGCCTGCAAGCCATTCATCGGACGCTATCCGGTCCGGATGATCCTCAGCGAACACATTCTTTCTGATCTGAACGACCGTCTCCATCAACCTCATCCCATCCTCCAGTTGACCGTTTCTCCAATACGCGACGGCGAGTGCGTGCTGCGAGGCTAGCCGGTCCGGATGGGTTTTAGCTAGCGTAGTTTCC